GCTTGTGGCCTGGGAAAGCAATTGAGGATGGCCCAAAGCCTTGGGTTCCTGCACCCTCTTGGGAGGCCCGGAAGAGGCTCCAGGCTCCTGGCTTCAGATTAGCGCAGTACCAACCGTTGCGGTCACGTGGGGCTGAATCATTGGACAGAGGATCGTCCTGTCTCTCCTCCTCTATATATATCTGACTTTGCAATAAAAAATAAATCTTTTTTTTAAAAAGTTTTTCATTTGAAACTCAAGAGTTTCACATAGAGAAAGGGAAAGACAGAGTTTCCATCTACTGACTGATTCTCCAAGTGACCACAATGCTGCAGCTGGACCACTCGGAAGCCAGCAACTCCATCAGGGTGTCCATGTGGTTAGTAGGGGCCCAAACAGGCCATCTTTTGCTGCTTTCTCAAGCACATTAGCAGAGAACTGACTGAATCAAAAGTGGAGCAGTCAAGACTTTAACAGATTCCATATGGGTTTCTAGCATTACAACATGACACCAAGTCCATATCTGCAAATATTTTTAAAGATTTGCTTTTAAAATTATTTCTGATTGACATTGCTTCTTCGACGATGGTACTTGGGAATTTCTGTGAAATGAGAACATCTGAGGTAAGATCATTCCCCAATGTAAGGAATTTCTTATGCAAACCATTTCCAAAGTAAATGATATCACTTTTATGCCACTTGGTAACAGGTAAGTAAATACTGTACATTTGATTTTTGCTCTTGAGTTTTCACATATTAGAGCAAATGCATTTTTTTCCTTCCCAGTCTCAAAATACTGTAGGCCCTTGAAAACCACCCAGGCTCTAGACAGGGAGGGCTTAATGGATAAAACAGACTGTGGCCTTCGGGAAGACTCATGATAAATGGTTAGGATCAAAACACACATCAAAGGAACCCCGCTCCCCAGGTCTCCCTGAGTGAGGGCAGCAGCTATAAAGCTAGAACCCACAGGACGGAGGGCACAGTGAAGTTGGATTCAGAGCTTGGAGAGGCAGTGGGCAGTCATCAGTGGTCAGCAGGAAATGTTTAGTCCAGCCCTCTGCAGTTACTGCCCTCCCCAGCCTCGGGAACATTCCTGTAAGATGAAGACTCCCTGGGTAATCTTTCCATCCCAATGGATGAGAGCGGCTCCAATGACAGCCTGTAAGAGAGAAATAGCTTCCTGGAAGAAGAAAATCTTTCAAAGATCTGCTTGCTGTGCTCAGCTCAACTGTGATGATCCCCTGAGTTTAACTGTCCTTTTTTTTGGGGGGGGGTTGTTTGTTTGTTGCTTTATGGGGAGCAGTGCCTGAAGGGATGGCCTCTATGGAGAAGGGGAGTCCCAGTGGTGAATTGGGCTCTACCTTGGGGAAGAGGCACAGATGTCCTATACGTTTTACCCTCAAAGCGCAGATTCTGAGAGTTTTGAGGACTATTGTCTCCTTTGGAAATGTGCTATCTGAAAGAAACAGGAATTTTACAAATTCCAGCAGGTGCTAGGGAGCATCCAACACTTGGGCCATGGGCCTAGAGACCGGCACAGGACGAGCTGAGCAGGTGCAGTCATTCACTTTCTCCCTGGATAGTTTTTGCAACGGCCACTCATCACCAGTTTTCTAATTTATTCAATAGAGATTTACTCATTCAATGGAAACAAATTAAACAACCAATTGCAACATTTTCACAGAATACTAGTTTAACTTAATTCAGAGAAATGAAAATATGTATAATGAATGGAAACCACTTCTTATTTTTATTCATTTGAAAGAGAGACAGAGAGCTCCCACCTGCCCACAATAGCAGGGGTTGAGGCAGGCCAAAGTAAGGATCCAGGGATTCAGTCCTGGCCTCCCAATCACTTGTGCCATCCCTGCTGCCTCCCAGGGCCTGCGTTGTCAGAAAGCTGGAATTGGGAGCAGAGCTGGGAGTCAAACCAGTCCACTGCACTTTGGGATGCAGGCATCCAGGCAATGTCTTAATCAGCAAGCCAAAGGTCCTTCTCTAGTTTTCTTTCTTTCCTTTTTTTTTTTTAAGATTTATTTATTTTTATTGCAAAGTTCGATACATATATAGAGAGGAGAGACAGAGAGGAAGATCTCCTGTCCAATGGTTTACCTCCCAAGTGGCTGCAATGGCCAAAGCTGAGCCGATCCAAAGCCAGGACCTTTTCCAGGTCTCCCACGTGGGTGCAGGGTCCCAAGGCTTTGGGCCATCCTCAACTGCTTTCCAGGCCACAAGCAGGGAGCTGGGTGGGAATTGGGGCTGTGGGGATTAGAACTGGCACTCATATGAGATCCTGGTACGTTCAAGGCAAAGACTTTAGCTGTTAGGCCACCGCGAGAGGCCCAATCTCTTGTTTTCTAAATTTCAATTTAGATACTATTTTTAAGCTGAAAACTCAACCTAAGACAGGTTGTCTCTATTAAAGAGAAGAAACAAATACTAGAAAGTACTTAAAATTTTACATTTTGGCTCCAAGAGGAGACTTTCTTCTAAATGTTACCAAAGGATTAAGAGAGTTATTTGAGGAATGCGCACTTATTATCTTGGAGGCTCAGAGACAAGCTGGCAATGCTCTGCTTCTATGGGAAACTCATTCCCCCCTTTTCATTTGGCACTAGACCAAAGGGATGATTGAAAATCAGGAAGCTCCTGGTCCCAGCTCTGCCACTCATTTGGTGGCCCAAGGAGGGGGCACTGGCCTTTTCAGGAACTTGATTTCCTTCACCAGTGAAACAAAGGGCTTGAGTCAAATTCTCTCTAATGTGTCTTCCAGCTCTGAGCCTTATCACTCCAAGACATCCTCCAACAGAGGGCAGAATGACAGGCGTGGAAATAACCCAGCCTCCCTCACTGCTTTGCCAGCTGAAACCATGATTTTCTTACTGGGAGTGACTTTATTTATTTTTTCACTAACTTCAGTGAGAAACTGGGCCACAAAATGGAGAGGAACTAGTCTAACTATGTGACGTTAAAAATCAACTCTTTTAGAAGCAATATCCAAGCTAGCCTGGGAGTGTGGGGTACGGATTCTTGGCCTATATCTCTTCAAAGATTAATTTCTTTTCATGATGGCTTCTCAGAGATTCAGAAAAGAACCATGACAAGGGGGCACTTCGCACAGCAGCTAAGATGCCACTTGGGATGCCCATGTCCTATTTCTGAGTTTCTGTTTCCAGTCCCAACTGTACCTCTGACTCCAGCGTCCTGCAAGTACACACTCTGGAAAGTAATAAATGATAGCTCAAGCACTCCAGTCCCCATAACCCAAATAGGATACCAGACTGAGTTCCAGGCTTCTAGCTTTAGCTTGAAGCAAGTAGTTGGGGGAATGGATCATAGATGGAAGATCTTAAGCTTTTTGGTGTCTTTTTAGAGGTAAACAGGAAACAAGATTTATAAAAGACCAAAGAATAGAACATAGTCATGAAGGAGAACTCTTTCCACCCAACCTAGGGCCATGCTTTTCAAAGGATGAGAGGTAGTACATAGGCAGGGGCTGATTGCATACCTGAAGGAGGCAGGGTTAGGGGTGGGGCTACAGCACACATGGGTGTCTGCTATCTGATGGTGCTTTAGCTGCTACCTTACCTGCACAATGAAGAGTGGATGTGTCCAGCCTTCAGACATGCTGAATCAGTATGGAAGGGGATGGGACGGCAGCAGCACACATGAATGGGTGTTGGCAGCTCTTAGTTCCTTGTCCTATACAGTCTCTTCACATAGCCCACAGGAATGCCTTCAGCAACAGGGTTTGAGAAACACCAATCAGAGTCTTCAGGGTCTTTACTCTCCCTGTAGTCCAACCTGGAAGGACTTAGTCTGCGATGACTGCAGAAGTTCCTCTCTTGTAAGGGAAAGTTTCTATCAAGCCAATATCCACCTGTAAGAGAAGCAAGACTCTGCAGCTCTAGGCAGTCTCTTCTCCAGTAGAGAAGGCACAAAGAACCTTTCTGTTGCTCACAGCACTTAGTCCGATCACTTCCCATGGGCCTTTGCCATCCTGTTTCAATGGATGACAGTATTTAAGCCTGAATTCAAAGCTACCTCTTTGAGATTTGACTCCGTTTTTCTGGGAATCATGTGCTTTTATACATATTTCATGTATAAATGACTATGCGTAAATATATAAATGTATGTATTTCATGTAATTTACTTGTTAGTCTCTTGTTCATTTATCTTTCATTACAAGGGCCTGTTTCAATAAGTGCTATGAAGATGTAGGATTTAGGATGATACAGAACTGGTACCGGAAGCAACTAGATCAGAGTTCCTTGTCCTTGCACAGGAGAATTGTAGATATGAGATGGAGAGTAAGCAAGGAAACAGTTTCATGAAGAGAATGTCCCTGATAGGCCAGGAAGGCATCTCAGAGAAGTGAGAATTTCTCCTTTTCAAATAAAATTTTTTCAAATAAATTATTTTTAAATATTTATTATTTTATTATCGGAAAAGCAAATACAGAGAGAAGGAGAGATAGAAAGATCTTCCACCCACTGGTCCACTCCCCAAGTGGCCACAATAGCTGGTGCTGTGCTGATCCACAGCCAGGAGCCACGAGTTTCTTCCAGGTCTCCCACATGGGTGCAGGGTCCCAAGACCTTGGGCCATCCTTCACTGCCTTCCCAGGACACAGACAGGGAGCTGGATGGCAAGTGGAGCAGCTGGGATACAAACCATTGCCTATATGAGATCCCGGCAGATGCAAGGCAAGGATTTAGTCACTAGGCTATCGCATTGGACCTTAGCTAGAGATTTTCTTAACTTTTCTGTTTGTTCCTATACGTGCATATGAAGGGTGGCCATGGTCTCCTAAATTATTGTAAGGGATGAGCAATGTTTAAGCTTATTGGACTCACTGAAAGGTACAAACCTGCTGGGAAAATATCAGTATTGCTCATCTTGGCTGCAGGAGCCCTACAATTATTGATTAAGAAATGAAAGTTTTAGAGAGTCTAGCAGTACGCTCCCCATGAATGTTTGCTCACCCATACTCCCTCTGCCTTATTGTTCCCTCTCAGGAAAGATGGCACCAGCCAAGACACAGTTCCGATGCCTGCTGCTGGTCCTGCTGCTGGGGTTGTGGGTGGCCGAGAGTCCAGTCAGTGCCAAGCCCAGTGGCATGACCTCAGCTCAGTGGTTTGACACACAGCACGTACAGCCCAACCCTGAATCATGCAGCACAGCAATGCCCAAGATCAACCAGTACAACAAATACTGCAAAAACATCAACACTTTCCTGCATGAGACCTTCACCAGCGTGATCCCCACCTGCAACACCCCCAACATCGCCTGCAAGAACGGCAATACCAACTGCCATCAGAGCGCAAAACCTGTGTCCATGACCAATTGTCAGTATGTTTCAGGGTCATATCCAGATTGCAAGTACAAGCAAACAGAACAGGTTGCAAACTTCATTGTGGCCTGTGACCCTCCACAAGCCAAGGACGACTCATCATACAAGCTGCTCCCCGTGCACTTCGATAAAATTGTCTAAGGCTTGCTGTCCCACAAACTCCGCAGGCTTTTTCTTCCGCTGCTGTATTTTCTCTCTAGTCCGTTGCAAATACCATTTCCTGCCCACAAAACCAACCTCACATGCTCTTGATTCTTTAGGGGGTTCATGGATGCTCCAAATGATGGGGGAAGAAGGATCATTCTCTTTAGCCTCTCTGTTGCTTCCTTCGCTTCTTGTGTGTGGTATTGCACGGCCCTTGGAGAGTGAAGCATGAAGGGTCTCAGGATAGATCCAGGTTGTAAAAGGCCTCTGACTTCCATCAGCTGGGAGACCTGCTTAAAAAAAAAGGATTTATAGAATTACAAGTGCAAAAGTCTGGGCCGTGGTTGGACAGCTCAAAGGAGGGCAGGAGACTCTTGTGTTGGGCAAAGGAATGCATTTGGTTTTGCTGAAATAAAAGATTCTGCTATGCTGAATGTGTTCTTGTCTGGAGCAGGGGCTGGGTAGGATGGGAATGGGGGTGCAGTAGAGGAAAGCTGTAAGGTTTGGTGCTCCCATCCAGAAACCCTGAAACAGCTTACCTCCACAAGGTGTCAATTTCTCCACACTACAGGCAGGAGTGAGGACTGTACCCCAAACAAACACAGCCTTGCAGCAGTGGCCTTGACACTGTCATCCACGTTCTTCAGAGCTAACAGGTAGTCTCTTCCCATGTAACGAGAAAAAACATTCTAAACCCTCAGGATGTCAGTCAGGTCTGCATGGATAGGACCCCAGGCAGGAGTCTCCACCTTCTAAAATGAATTTCCCTCCTTTTGGAGGTTCAGAATCAGGACCCACTAGGAATTTTGTTCGGGTCTTTATCAGTACTTCTTTAACTATGGTAAAAGAGCAATCGTCCATAAAACAGTACATTTGTATGATAAATAAATGAATTACTGGGACATGAGATAGACTATGCAGACAGAGAAAGCATAGAAACTTATATGATAAAAAAAAATCACACAGAGGAAAACCTTACATACCTGACATAGATGTGTACACAGGGACACTAGCTTACACATTTGTACATGGGTAGATAACACACACATGCGCCTCAATAGCAAGGTACTTCTACTCCATCCCCCTCCTGTCCCTGCTTCCTCCTCACACCTGCCTTTTCACTTTAGGAAAGACATGCTCCTACTCAAAACCATGACTCAGAGTAAGGAAAGAATGTTTGGTGAGGCATGAAGTGGCAGAGAAAGCACAGAATGCAGACTCTCGCTCCCAAACCTTTCCACACACTCCAGAAGCAGAGCTCATCACAGCCTCACACCCACACCATCCCACCTCAACCACCATTTCTCACTGAGCATTCAGGCGGCCCCTGCCCACCCACATGCTTATAGTCGGGGAGGACATACTGGAAGTGAGAGACAGGCATCTGCCCTTCAGCCTTCTTCCCAATGTCACAGGCAGGCTCTGCTTTCTGTGTCTGCAACTTAAATGGCAGTTTCTTACGGTCCTATTCCTGGCCTCCTTTTCTTCTCCTATTGCAGTCCTCAGGAGGGATTTGATACATTTCCATGGGTTTGACCATCACTTCCCTGCTCTTAGAGGCAGACAGTCAGTCCAGATCTCACAAGGGCTAGGCACATACATTCATCTACCAACCGTTACCAACCACTTTGGTGTCCTGAATACATCTCAACTCCAGACACACAAAGCTAAGTCCATGAATGTGTCTGACCTGCTGTCTTAGTTTTGGCTAGTGAAACCATTACACGTCATCACTCACAGTCCTAATCTGAGAGATAATCCATGTCACTTTACTCTTTTTCTCCTGAGTTTTTCGATAACTATCTACCTTTCCCAGGTACTGCCTCAGGAGGACACAAAAGTCCTTGGGTTTTGTTTTCTTTTTCCTAAACAGCAGTGGGTTCCTAATGTATGACCATGCTGGATGGGGTTATGACTGGGAGCAAGGCAAACATGCCCAAGCTGGTGCCATACTGTACTCACAAACTGCTGAGGAAGCAAGAATAAGCAATATCTATAAAATGCTATCAAGAATAGCCAGTGGCAAGCAGTGGCAGGCAGTACCAGGAGAGGCTCAACCAGTCAACATCTGTAAGAGTGGTAGCCAGAAAAGCTAGGGAAAATTTTAGAACACAATGAGCCCCTAAGGAAACTAATTATATCCAAATGAGTGGTGTGGCAATCTGAGTGGGAGTTGCTGGCTTCCGTGTGTAGGCTGAGGAAGGAGATGGAGTGTAATTTGAATCTAGGGACCATGGCTGGAAAACTGGCACACTCACAGGATAATGACATAGCACCCTTAAAGCAGAGTTCAGTGGGGTCTCCTGGAGGTTTACAAAGAGCTGCTCCACAGCCTGGGTCCCATATCTCCACCAAGTATACTGTCAGAGCTGTTGCGAAGGTATTTCCAGAAAAAGCACTGGGCAGGGGCTCCCCAGCCATTTGGATGACATAATTATCTCCTAGTGGGTAAGTGCATTTTAATAGCTACAGATTTCAGTATTATGGACAGAAGTAGTTAAAAGAGCCAAATACATAGTATTAATATGTTTGTATTAAAGAATGCATATATTGGGATTTTGGGTATTTGCAGTGTTTGTGAGAATTTGGTGCATTATAGTAGCAAAAGAATCTTGTAATTCCAACATAAAATGTGCATGATTTGAAATGACATTTGCCTTTCAAATTAGTTTTGGAGCATTTTGGAAAACATAAGAATCAAATGACTCTATGAATCACTAGATTTTTAAGAGCTTTTAGATATTCAGGAATGTTTGTTGGCTAAGCCAGAAATTCAAACTATTGTATAATAACATGGGATACTGAAAACTTATATTCTTCAATGTTTTAAAGAGTGTCATTAATTCCATTTACAAATGGTATCAAGCAGTCACCAAATATAATCTTTAAAGGATTTGCGGGATTTATTTCTTTGTAAGTTAAATGTGAAAGCTGCAGCAAGAACTTGGCTTTGGATCTGTAGCTTCAACATGAGGAACACAAATTACAAAAAGCCAAACAGTCCTCTAGACATTCTCTGTTGGACACAAAAAGGACATTTCAAAACTCACACCTATCCAATTCATGCAACATTTGCATCCTCCCAGCTTCGGCAATTGTATTTTCAAACAGTTGCCCTGTTTGCTGACATCATTGGCATTTCAGAAGGGGGGCAGGCACTGAGGGTGCAGTAGCCAAGGCTTAGGTTCAAGGGTGCCTAGGTGGCAATGTTGTCAAATTGGGACCCCTGGAATTGAAGCCAGGCTTTAAACTCAACTTCTATGTGTTACTCCCTCTGCTCTGTGCTGCCTCCAGGTGGTTTAAGTGCAAGGAAGGCCTCACGTTGCAGGTTAGAAGAGTTGGAAGAGGGGAGAGGAGGGTGTACCTGAGGCTGGTGTGCTGGTGGCAGAATTCTGTAAGATAAAAGCAAAAGCAAAATTCTGAGACTACGTTTAAGAGTCCATCCTCAGTAGGGACTTCTCCTTGGGCAAACGTGGAGTCTTGAGACTACATCTTACCATGCAAAATAGTTTCTTACACACACACACACACACATTGCTAGGCAATGGCTCATTTAAGAAATGAACTTCTAGTGTTTGCCTGGAAGAGAGTGTGTGTACAAACATATGTGTTCATGGTGGGAAGCTAAATTAGGAGTGCTGCATTCCCCCAATTACAGATTCTTTGGCGTTCCAAACACCTCATCTAAAATGCAAATGTCTTTTCACAGAAACAAAACAAGATAACGTAACCATCACTTGGAATCAGTCCCACGGGTGTTGGGCTTGGCTGGGGTGCACTTGAAGGCTTGGCACAGCACATGGAGAGTTTTGTGTTGTGGGTAATAGGAACAGACGCAGTGGGGCAGAGATTTGTGTCTCAACCAGGAACACAGAAAAAGAGACATCCAGGCATGAGAGGTTCTTCTACCCAGCCACTTGGCAGGCCTCAAGTTTGGGGTGGTGGCAGCAACCAGGGGTGGGGACAGACAGGACAGGGCTGGCTTCATTACTGCTGTTATCCCTAGAATGGATCCCCCAGGACCCGCTGAATCTCCTGGGGACCTGTCTGTGAAGGCTTGAGGCTGCTGCGTCACATGTTCTATCTTGATAAATGCTCACTGAACCCAGTGTTTTTGGAGCAAAGGAATGTGATCATAAATCTGAAAAGCTTAGAAGGCAATTTCTTTAAAATAAAAAAGCTCATCATGCTCAACATTCCTCAACAAGCAGGAATTCACTACATATGGAAATAGCCTGTACTATTTAGGGCAGCTCTAAAGACTAAAAACTGCCTTGCATAGAACCTGATCTACTTCTATACACCTGCAAGATTTCCTGCCACTATGAGCCGTCAGAATAACTCCAATTCCTCTTCTCAACTAACCTCTTAAATATTTTAAGAGAGCTTCATGACCGTTGCCCTCCAAATATTGCCTCATCTGGCACTAACAAGAGCTATAAAATGTCTCCTACCGTTTGACCCAATAATTCCATTTTGTTAAATGTGCCACAGAGGAGTAATTCAAAAGAGAGGAGGAGCAAGTTATGCAAATACGTTTAGAATATCACTTTGTATTGTAACAGAGAAGAATTTCAAGCAATACTATTTGCCTAAAATGGAGAGCTGATTAACAGATGATGGAGAATTTGGCTGACATTGTCACCGAACACAACAAATGCAAAAATGTATTCTGCGTGGAAATATAGATGAGCAAGGCTCCGTGGAGAAAAAAAGAATATAAAGCTTCATTTCCTTTTAAAATATATTATGTTCTTATTTTAACAATAAGATGGTGGTGGCTCTGGCTTTGGCGATAACCCCAAATAATAAATAAATAAAACAAAAAAAAAAGGAGAAGCAAACCAAAACACAACGGATATACAACACAGATTTCTCACCCAGAAGAAAGCACGGTTTGAGTCCTGGTTTCACTGGAAGCTACAGCTTACAAGAATTTGTTCCGCCAAGCCTGTCCCTAAAATCCCCCTTGGGCATCCCTCAGGGATTCTCTGTTAACTTAAGGCCTGGAACCCAAGCTCAGCCCTCATCACCATTCCCTCCAGGTGGATAAACAGTGAGCAGCCTAAGGCCCCACGGCAGCTAGAGCCCTTGGTGCACTAAACCAGGCAATAAACATTATAGGCGCAGCTGCTTCCTCTGCCTCTCCCCTCACCCACCTCATGACAATAACACCATTTCTCCATGTGAACCATCCTGCAAATGTCTTAGAAATTATCTACTAATTCCTAGTCTGGGGGAGGGGGAATGCATCTTCTTCTCTGACCCATAGTGCCATTTCTATCATTCTTACAAACTCTTTTCGCTCTACCTACTACAAGAACAAAACTAACATTTCTTTCAAACTCAAATTCAAGATTTAGAAGATGATCTTTTTGAAAAATTTTTTTTTATTTGAGAGAGAGAAACTCTCATCCCTGGCTCACTCCTCAAACATCCCTAATAGACTGGGCTGAGTCAGGCTGAAGCCAAGCAGCAGGAATTCACTCTGAGCCTGATGGCAAGGACCCAAGGACTGCAGCCATCATCTGCTGCCTCCCAAGGTGTGCACTGCCAGCAGGAAGCTGGATCAGGAGTGGGAGAGTGGGGACTTGTTCCCAGGCACTACCTTGTTCCCAGGCACTACTTGTTTACCAGGCACTGTCCAAGACGAAGTCTGAACCACAGCACCCAAGACCTGCCTCAGAGATAACATTTTTAACATGATGGTTAGGTGACAGAAAAACCAATGTAATATTCCAAGTGCTTCTTTTATGAACTTTTACATCTCAGCTGAAGTTCCAATAACTTAGGGGTTGAGAATGAAACTCTAATAACTTAGGGGTTGAGAGTGAAGCTTCTGAAACCAGACAGCCTGGATTGGAGTTTTGGCTTTTCCACTGACTGAGTAGCCTGGAGCACATTACTTCACTTCAATAAGCCAACATCTCATCTGTCAACACAGCAATTTTGAGAAGACCTAAGGAATCTGAAATTGGTGCGATCTGGTGACAACCGTCTGAGAATGCAGGCTTCTAAGCCTGGTCTCGTCCCAGACTCTCGTTTCTCCCTGACAGCCTTGCCCCTCCATGCCCCTCACCAGAAACACACCCATCAACACAGACTTTTTGTGTGCCTATACACACACTTTTTGATACTACCCTGCCTTCTTTGAGAAAGTGGTATTTAACTACTGCCAGCCTATGTGGCACTTCCTTAAAATAAGCCTTTGTAATTGAGCACAGATTTTAAAACTCTGGAAAACAGCAGAAACTGCATCCCAGATCCTGTATCCAAACTCTCTCACTCCACTGGCTCAGATACTCTGAGCAGTTCCCTCTTTTCCATGGAAAGAAAAATGATTCATGTCTTCCTCCATGAGTTCCTGGTATCCCAGAGCCAGCTTAATTTATATCCCACTCCCTAGCTAAGGAAACTGAAAACTCGGCTGCCAAGTGGTCCCCAGTTGGAACTGGAAGACCGGGTAAGGGAAGGTCCACACTCAACACTAAGCGTGTGCCAGCTGCACTGAGCCAAGTGCATAAAGTTCACGACACATCTTCCAGAGGAGTTTCTCAAGTGCTGACCTGGTAACTGGCTACTGGACAGTATTTACAGAGTGGACACCAGGGGGTAGCACAGTCTCACTCTCCTGGCTCCCTGACACTAAAAGCAAGAAAGCCGCAGAATGACTCCAGGATCCCATTAGCCACAGTCGGAAAGAGCCTCATCTCTGCTAGCAAGATGGTCACTGGGGTTTGTGGCCCTAGATTGCTTTTGAGGCCATGGAACACAAGAGTTCTTTTCACCTCCAAGAAGGATTTATTCTTTTTTTTTTTTTTCCAGACCCAGCAGAGAAAGGGCGGAGTTTAGCATCCTGAGAAGGTGAGGTAAGAGCCATGACCTGGCTGCCCCCCTCTGGCTGTTCCAACAACTCTATGGGTTGGGGGGGAGTGCCGCTGCTCCTTCCGGTAGGAGTAGGAGTCAGCTTTCCCCTCCCTCCACCTTCAGTATGAAACAAAGAAAGACATCTTCCACCGGCTGGTCCACTGTCCAAATGCCTGCCATAGATAGGGTTGGGCCAGGCTGAAGGAGAGAGTCCAGAACTCAATCTGAGCTTTCCACGTGGGTGGCGGGGACCTGCTGCTACCTCCCAGGGTACACAACATTAGCTATGAGTTGCAATCGAAGCGGGGGTGGAGGCGGGCGGCGCAGGGCAGGGAGGAGTGGAATTCAGGCACTCCAGGAGACACACCCGGCTGCCCCCAAACGCTTGCCAGCCAAGGCAAGGCAGAGCGGCCCGTGCCCTATGGCTTCTCTCTGTTACCTGGCATTCCTGTCTCCTTGGCAATGCTCCCCTTTGGCATTTCCAACCTGTACCTCCATCTACCCCAGTCCTCCAGCCGCCCCATCCCCACCCCTATCTTTCATTTCCTATCCAGACCCGGTTGAAGATGCTGGGGTTGGTGGTGGGGAAATGGAAGGGGGATAATGAGACTTGGACTTTTCTTAACTAGCTCGCCCCAGCAGCCTGCATACCGCCTCAGATCCTCCTAGCCACTGCCCTGAGCCTTTGCCGAGTCTGCGGCCTCCTACAAGAAGCAGGGTCTGTTAGCATCCAGTCCTGAGGTCTAGCTGGGGAACTGGTGCCTTTTCTGGAGAAATGGGGGTGGAAGGGCCCCCGAACAGAAAACATGGCGCAAAGTGCATGCCCCTGTGGAAACTCCTGAACCCGCGGCCTTGCACGCCTCAGCTGCCACATCTCGCCCCCTCCCCCCAATTCCAAGCTCCCACCGCTCCCTAATTTCCCCCACCCCCGCCTTCCTGAGGCAGCACAGAGGAGCCCATTGTCATGGTCTGGAGGGCTCGAGGCTGGAGAAGCTGGAAAGCGGGAGGAGGGTGGGCAAGTCCCAGGGGAGTAGGGGAAGCCCCGGGTTTCTTGTTCCCCTCCGCGCGACCCCAAGTTGGCTGGAGTGAGGACCTGGGGATCCCCAAGTCAGATCCCGTCAAAGTCTGGCAGCCCAGCAGTGCGGAGCGTCCCCAGGGAGTTAGAGCCTGGACCCTTCCCGCCCTGGACAAACAACCCCTATCCTGGGCAGGAGCCGCGGGGCAGGGGGGTGCAATGCGCGCACGCCCCGCGTGGAAGCCGAACCCATCCCGCCCTGAGCCTGGCGATGGCGGGAAAAGAGGGGCGTCCACGGCCCGCGGGAGGAGTGGGCTCCGAGGGTGAGGGTCCGGGCTGCCCACGGGAGGGCGGGGCGCCGAAGGCCGAGAGGTGTCGGGTGAGCCGGGCCGATTGGCTGCGGCGGCGGCGGGGTCCCGCGCCGAGGAGGGGGCGGCGCCCGAGGGCGGGCCGGCCGTCTGGGCCCTCCCTGGCGAGGCCCCGCGGCCCGGGAGCCCGAGCGGCCACCGCGGCCGGAGCTGTCCCCCCGCCAGAGCCGGCCAGACGCGAGCGGCGGGAGGGAGGCGGCGGCGCCCGGCCCCGCCCGGCCGCCCGAGCGTCGGACGCGGCCCCGGCGCCGAGCCATGGTGAGTCCCGCTCCGGGGGGCCCCGGCCCCGCGCCCCCCGCGCCGAGCAGCGCGCCTGCTGCCCCCCCCTCCCCCGCGCCTTTTCTTCCATCTGTCCGTCCTGCCCTGCTGTCCGGAGCTGTCCCCTCCGAGAACGGCCCTCAGTCTCGCTCTTTTCCTCCTCCTCACCTCCCCAGACCCTGGGTCTCCCCCTACTCCTTGAGCCACACGCCTTCCCCCGCTCTGCGCTGTCCAGACCTGTGCCTTTCTCTAGTGGCTATCCCCTCCCCATCTCGGTCTCAACTCCTTCCCCGCGGGAGACCCCTGCGGGTGGGTGGGTCCTGAAGCGGCCCGGCCTGGGGTCATGAGAACTGACCTGCCTGGAACCACCATTTTCCATCCCAGTCCCCAAGCTGGTGAGGGCAGGCCCACCCATCCGGCCCTGGGGGACCGGCCACAGCTGTGGCTTGGGCCGGGGCCAGGGATATGGCCAAAGAGGGAAATTCCCGCAGAGAAAAGGGATTGCCTTGGGGGGGTAATGGACAGATCGGAGAGAAGGGGGCGGCCCCACAGTGCCAGGGGGCAGACCCGAGGCTGAGGATGTCAGGGAGAGAAAAGCGCCACAAGACCAGGAACCCAAGTGCTGCTCGGGAGCACTCCGGCTGCAGACGGCTGGGAGCGCGGCCGGGAGCTCCCTGCAGGCGGCGGCAGCCCAGGGTGCAGGCAGCCCACCCCTCCAGGACAACACGCCGCGCGGGGCACTTGGACTCCAGAAGTACTCTCCGAAGGACCCCCTGCAAGAGTGGGCACTGCCAGGGAGGGTCGGGGTGCTGCGGCCGCTGGGGCGCTCGCTGCGGCGAGCCGAGGAGGTGGAGGAGAGGCTCTGCGTGCCAAGGGGAGCTCCCTCCTGGGAGTGGAGGAGGAGCAGAAGCACCACCCAGACCGCGGGTCGACCGAAGGAAGGGCACCCCCCCGGCAGAAAGGTCGGAGCGGAGAAGAAAGAGGAACTGGGCCAGGGAGAGCTGACTCAGTCTCTCTGGGCTCTTAGGTCCCGGCCGGCTGGGAGGCCGGGTCCCTGGGCCGCCTCCAGTCCCAGACCCCTCCTCCCCTCCTCCCCTCCTGCCGCTGCCGTTTCCTGTGGCTGCGACTCTGGCTCAGCCATGAGCTCACCGCCCCTAATGGGTTGCAGCTGCCTGGCTGCTCCAGCTCCAGCTTTCCACCCCCACCCCCTCCTCCCGGCCTTGGAGCCGACCATGGCCCTCCAGGTCTCACCCCACCTCCTCCCGCCGCCCACGCGCGCTCCGGGGAACACTGAGGGGGTCTGTGTGCTCACCCACACACTTTGGGCCGGGATTGTGCGCTGGTTCCTTGCATGCCAGCCGCTGGAATGGCTGCCCTGGGCTGTGCAGAGCCGCGGGGACGAGCGGGCCGCTTTGGAATAAAATATGCAGTTTTTGTCTGGGGCCTGGACGGGTGGAACGCGAGGTAAACACTGCACTGCACAACCCCCCCTTCGGTTTTACTGCAAAGGCACCTGGTGAAAGGCACTTCAAAGGCCGTCTTGTAAGAGAAAGAAGTTTGCAAAAGAATTGCCCGAGGGCTGGAGATGGAAGCTGTGAGGTGAACGGTGTCCCATAGATTTGCATGGGGAGGCTAGTCTGGAAGAAGCCAGCCAAAGTCTTAGACACTGGCCGCAGGTCAAGGTTGGCAGAGAGATGCCCCCTGGAAGGTTTCGGCTCAGGCATATGGTGCAGGCTTCCTCCCCCACATGTTGCTTTTGTAACTTTTCCCTCTTTCAACTGCCCCCACCCAGTTCTTTGTAACCTAACGCCTCCCTCTCCCGCTCCAGGAATGAGTGATTATTTTAGAACCACTGGGGTAGAGGGGTGCTGGGAAAGAGCAGACACAGTCCCAGATGGTCTTCTGTCTTCCTGCTTCCTTCCCAGGGACCCACCCTAGGACAGAACCTACAGCGTCATGGCTACTTGGCTTGGTGCTCTCTGGAGGATGGGCCCTATGAGAGGGTCTTGTGTGGTGGCTATGGGAAGCCCCTCACCCTTCCAACCTCCTGGGCCAGCAGCTTAGTCTCTGGATGACCCAGGAGTGCAGAGAGCCAGTGGTAGGGCCACCATCATGGCCAGGCCCAGGGAATAGTTCCCGGCAGAGGCATCTACCACACACTGAGTGCTGTGCATCCTGACCTCCGGTCTGGCACCTTGGGCTCATTCAGGAACCATTTCCTGAGTGTACCATTGTACCCTGAGGCTCCCCTGGCACTACCATCCTCCTCCTCCCCCCCGCAGGGGAGTGGGGTGAGGACTCATGACCAGCAGCAAGCAGAGGAGCACTGGTGCCCTACTTGGGTGTTCTCTAGGAAGACCGTAGCCTTGGGTGTTGTGTCTCCCAGGAGCCTGAGCCAGTGGAAGACTGTGTGCAGAGCACCCTTGCTGCCCTGTACCCACCCTTTGAAGCAACGGCCCCCACCCTGTTGGGCCAGGTGTTCCAGGTGGTGGAGAGGACTTACCGGGAGGATGCGCTGAGGTATACCCTGGACTTCCTGGTTCCAGCCAAGCACCTACTTGCCAAGGTCCAGCAGGAAGCCTGTGTGAGTGGCCCTGCACCCCTGTTCTGTCTCCCCTCTGACCCACTTTCCTCACTTCAGAATCCAGCCAGGCTTACTAATCCCAGCCCCCATGGCAAAGCATCAGCCCCTAATACTACACATACACACCCCAACTCACTGAAGCTTCATTTGCTGACCAGCCCCCGTCAACTGATCCTCAGAAATACAACCACTCATAGTAACACACACACCCTGCAGCAACCACTGGCCACCAAGCATGCTGACCCTCAGACCCCATTCCAGGCACCTGAATACTCCTAGGACTTGGTCTCAGGACTCTGCCTCCCGCAGACATGGCTTAACAGAGACCTTTCACTTCTCACAGAACCACCTGCTCAAAAGTCTTTGATCTTCCTCCACCCCCGCCCTGTCCCATGCCACACCCCCCAGGCAATGGCACCTGCTGAAGGTTGTCTTCACAATGTTTCAGTTCTTAGCCTTCCACACATGCAATTAGCTTCCTGCCACCAGAAGGCTGAGCAGTCCCCATGTCTTCTCTGTCACATGAATATCTCAGGGTGACTCGTCCCTGTCCCCCTAGAATTGTCACCTACCAGGCAGAAAGCCAGTCCTGTCTGTCTCCTGCTGGTGTTGTCTGTAGAGGCCTGAGCGCAGCCTCCTGCCTTTCTCCCCAGGCCCAGTACAGTGGATTCCTCTTCTTCCACGAGGGCTGGCCACTCTGCCTGCACGAGCAGGTAGTGGTGCAGCTAGCAGCCCTCCCCTGGCAGCTACTGCGCCCAGGAGACTTCTACCTGCAAGTGGTGCCCGCAGCAGCCCAAGCACCCCGCCTGGCACTCAAGTGTCTGGCCCCAGGGGGTGGACGGGTGCAGGAGCTGCCTGTGCCTCATGAGGCCTGTGGCTACCTGTTCACACCTGAGTGGCTGCAAGGCATCAACAAGGACCGGCCAGCGGGTCGCCTCAGCACCTGCCTGCTGTCTGCACCCTCTGGGATTCAGCGGCTGCCCTGGGCCGAGCTCGTATGCCCGCGGTTTGTGCACAAGGAAGGACTCATGGTTGGACACAGGCCCAGCACATTGCCCCCAGAGCTGCCTTCTGGACCCCCAGGGCTCCCCAGCCCCCCACTACCTGAGGAAGCACTGGGCACCCGGAGTCCTGGAGATGGGCACAATGCCCCTGCGGAAGGACCGGAGGGCGAGTACGTGGAGCTGCTTGAGGTGACGCTGCCCACGCGGGGGAGTCCAGCAGATACCGAAGGCTCCGAGGGCCTCTCCAGGACCAGGACTGTGCCTACTCGCAAGGGAGGCGGGGGCAAGGGCCGGCACCGGAGACACCGGGCCTGGATGCACCAGAACGGCCTGGGACTTGGGGACCAGGCTGGGGCACGACCACCCGGCGAAGGCAGCAGCACCAGTGTTTCCCCCAGATCTCCGCCTGGGGCAGAGGCTCCCCCCGAGGCAGCAGCTGGAGAAGTGCAGGAGCCTGCAGTGGCTGAGGCACTCGTGGAACCCTCTGAATCATGTGCCGTGGTACTTGGGGAGGCTGGGGGAGGAACAGGCCAGGGGGCGGAAGGAACGCCTGGGACCCCGCGGAGAACTGGCAAAGGCAACAGGAGAAAGAAGCGAGCTGCAGGCAGAGGGGCTCATGGCCGAGGTGGGGACAGTACACCGCTAAGCCCGGGAGACAAGGAAGACAACAGCCCGGGGGAAGCATGCACGACAAACCAGCGGGAGCCCCCAGAACAGGGGCCGGGCAAGGACGATCACAAAGGCTCTGGCAGGTCTGAATCAGAGTCGAAAGAGGAGCTCCAACCTGCAGATGACAAAGAGCCCCAGCCACCAGAAGTCCATAGGACTGAGGAAGAGGAAACCAGAGAGAAGGAGCAGGAGGGGTCAGGCTTGGTGTGCTTGGCAGGTAAGGGGGCCATGGGCAAGTGGGGGGCAATGAGGCCTATACCTAATGGTTTGCTAGAGGAGCTGAAGCAAGAAGCTAGACCCAGCTGCACTGGTGGCCCACAGCTCTCCTGTGTGTATATGTGCGTAGGCCCTGAGGAACTCCTGTCAGGTCCTGAACCACTGCCCTTGGAGCCCGTGCAGGAAGCAGAAGGGAACAGCATTCCAGAAGAGGCACCCCAGACCGCCACCTCTGATGACCCTGACATAGCTTGGAACTTGATGGCATCTGGCTTCCTCATGCTGACGGGTCAGTGGGCATCCTTGGGGGAAGGGTTGGGCAGTTGGGGAAGGAGGAGGAGCCGAGGTGGGCTCCAGGGAGAGAGGCAGTGGGAAAGGGAGAGAGGTAGCAGAGAACTGCTCCCAGCCAGGACAGCCTGGCCATTTTGTGTCTTCAGGAGGGGTGGACCAGAGTGGGCGAGCCCTGCTGACCATTACCCCACCGTGCCCTCCTGAGGAGCCCCCACCCTCCCAAGACACACTGGGCACTGCTCTCCGTTACCTGCACTCACTGCTCAGGTAACCACAGCCCCAGCCTGCCTTCCTTCCGGCCTTGCTGACCCTTCCCCTCCAGGTGACCACCTGCAGTGGTCTTCAGAACCAGCACTGTTGACTTTCAGCAGCCTAGCATGCTCCCTAGCTTAGCAGGACATTGTCTCATGCATTCAACAACTGTTGATGGAGCCCTGAGGACCTACTAGGTGCCATGCTGCAGGCTGGCATTGAATCCACATCTTTCCAGAGCACAGAAGCCTTGACTTTCCTAACCTGGCTTCCTTGAACAATCCAACAACCCAGACTCCTTGTTGTTAAGTCCCTGCCCCTTGGACACACACTCAGGTTTGGCCCTGTCCCTTCGCTCTGCATATATACCAAAAACTAACTTCTCACTGTGACAGTTACTCCTGAAACCAGAGTGTGTGCCTGTGCCCTCTCCTTTCTGCCGCCACAGCAGGTGCATGTGCGCACACGTGCACACACACATACGTTCATACATACACACTCTGCAGCCCCCCTTCCTTGGTTGTTCCTGCTCCCACAGGCCCGATCTGCAGAGACTGGGGTTGTGTGTCCTGCTGGACCTTCGCAGGGCACCCCTGCTGCCTCCAGCACTTGCTCCTGTCCTGAGTCAGCTTCAGGTAACCAAGCTCAGAGACAAGTGCTGCCTTGCCATCTTTCCTGGTTACCCGATGGCCCACAGGTTGAGGGCTGTTTTCCTTACCCCTCTGCAGGACACAGGAGACCCTCCCCTCATTCAGCAGCTGCTGATTCTCATACATGATGATGCTCCCGTTGAACTTGGTGGATTTCAGGTTTGAGTCTCATTTTTGCCTAGTTCTCTTCATCAACAGTGGACAGATGGAAGGGCCGGAGGTCTGGGCTGGTCTTTGGATCCTTGAGCAGCCAGGCAGAACTCTCCTTCCTGCCTTTGCCTGTCTGCAGGGTGCTGAGTTGCTGTCAGAGAGTGAGCTGAAAAGAGTGGCCAGGCCAGAAGAGCTCCAGTGGGAGTTAGGAGGTCACAGGGACACCTCTCCCAGCCACTGGGCAGAGATACATCAGGTAAGCTTCCCTCTCCACCTGTGTCCCACACTAGGACACTGGGAGCCAGGGATGACCCATCTGAGGACATGCTGGGAGAGAAGTGGACTGGGGATGTGATCATGGAATTGGAGACAAAATGCTTTCCATTCCATTCAGCAAGTATCTATGACTCGCAAGCCATCAGCTAAACACTGAGCACTGTGCCACTGGCTGTTTCAGAAGATAAGAGGAACAGGTCAAGCAAATTCTAAACATGATGCTGTGTAAAGTGTGATTTTTTTTTTATTTTGATGGAAGACACCTCATGAAGTAAGCAGAGTGGAAGGTGACATCATTGATTTCTGGAAATCCCCGAGGGACAGGCAGACTGCCTTCTGGTTTTCCGTGACCTTGACAAGCCCTTTTACTTCACTCTGGAAACATGCCAACATGCAGGCTTGGGATCCTCATCTGCAAAGCACAGCATCATGCCAAGCTCTGCAAAGGTTCTGTCAATACTTTTGTCCCAGGAGTTGTTTAAGTGCTCTGAACTCAAGAAGAGAGGAACAAATCTGGTCTGGGCTGAGTATGGATCAAGGGTCTGTTACGTGGTCTCTAGATTACACATTGGAGGGGAAGTGGCCTTGCACAGGCAGGAAGGAGGAGATGAGATTAGGATACACCATGGAGAAAAAGGGACTGACATGCAATAAACTGTACAAGGCACCTGGTGATACCACCTCTTTACCCACCAAAAACTCCTGGCTGATCCCCACCCAACTGCTGAGGAAACTGAGCATTCAGGAGTATTTCTGGACCTGCCCAACATCCTACAGACCTCCTCTGTAGAAGTTTCAGGTCCTTATCATACTTTCCCTGTTGGTGACTTTTAGGAAGTGGCAAGACTGTGCCACCTGTGCAAGGGTGTGCTCGCCTCCATTCGGCAGGCCATTGAGGAGCTAGAAGAAGCCAAGGAGCCAGAGGGAGAGGTATGATGCAATGTGGGAAGTGGGGGATGCCACAGGGCTGGGGGCACCTGGCAGAACCCACATGTCCACCACTGCCTATTCCGTAGGAGGCAGTGGGGATGCCCAAGCCCCTGCAGAAGGTGCTGGCAGATCCACGGCTGGCAATACTGCAGAGGGACGGTGGAGCCATCCTGATGAGGCTGCGCTCTACCCACAGCTGCAAGTATGAGGGATGAGTGGTGTGCAGAGTGGGAGGGATGGGAAAGGAAGATGGGGACACAGACGAGGGCTGCTCATCAGCCAGCGCTGTCAGGGCAGCCTTGCTGCATGGGCATCTGGCACAATATCATGCTTTGCCTCTTTCCACATCCCTCCCCCGACCCTGCGTGCTAGTTACAAATGCAAATGAGAATTCCAAAGATTGGAAATGTCATGTCACTTGGCCAAGGTCAGTGGGGACATGGAAGACTTAGGATTCAAATCCAGACCATAATCTGGTCATTCAAGTCACACCTCCCCACATGCTTGCATGCTTTGGAGGCAATGTGAGGATAACAGATTACAACTAAGGCAAAGGCTCCTTTCCCCCTCCTTCTGCAGGCTGGAGGGTCCTGGCCCAGCCACACTGTATCAGGAAGTGGATGAGGCCATTCACCAGCTTGTACGCCTCTCCAACCTGCATGTGCAGCAGCAGGAGCAGCGGCAACGTGTGCACCGACTGCGGGAGGTGAGCCAGCACCCCACCCCCTGCTACTTCTTCCTCAGCTTAGGAGTCTGGCCTCCTGCACACTCTTTCTATATAATTTTCTTTTTACTATTATTTACATAGTTGGAAGGGATACACGTCCATGTGGATCTCTGATTAGGATAGGGAGGTCAGGTACAGAGGAAGGTGGGTGAGACAAATGTTTCCCCCTTTTTTTTTTTTCCTCTGTATGGGAGGGAAAGAGGGGCACCCCTTGCTGTCACACTGCATCAGCATACTGGGGATGAGGAGTGGTCCGTTGATGACATCAGAGACCCCAAAGTGGGGTAGAGTATTCCAAGGGTGTTACCTGAGTGGCTTTGATAATTCTGAGATGACATTGGCTTTGTTGCACTGTTACACCAGGGTTATGAAAATCTTTTCAAGGTCTGCTGGCTGACCAAGTCCACCTGAGTGCATCCGCAGGCCTAGGAACATGTGTCAAAGCTTGGTCAGAAGAGTGCTCCAACCTGTTCTGTTCCATCCTCTGAATGAGGCGCTTGATATCTTCTGCTGGCCTAGATAATGTGGGGGTGTCACGTCCCCTGTGTGCATCTGGGAATGCTGTCCACTGTGCAGGCATCAACAACTGAGGAGGCCTATTCCTAATACATGTACTCTAAGCTCAGGCCACATATATTCTGATTTTCCTGTAGCTCAGGTTTGAGTCAGCTATACAGCAGTGCCAACGGAGCCTTGGTTGATCTCAGATAGCCAGTACCCCACCATTCCTGCTGGCAGCTATGCCACACATCTGTCTCGGCAGCATGCGATGTGCCCCTGCCACGTGGAATCTTCCTTGCCTGACATGACATGACTTGATCATTGTGTGCATCAGCCAATGCAGGGTCAGGTTTGGTCCATCCAGCAGGGGAGTGCCCACAGTCCCTCTACCAGGCCCACTCCCACCCCAGATCTTGTGCCTGCCAGAGGGTACTGCAGTCCAGTCTGACGTAACTCACACCCAGTCCTGGCACTTGCCAGCTGGTGCTATAGCCTAACCCAGCTGAACCACACTCACTCTGGCTCTTGTGTGTGCTAGTAAGTACAGCATCCTAGCCCTGCCTGGCCCATCCCCAGACTGGCTTGCCCCCTGACCCAGCTCTCATGCAGCTGGAAGCAGCAGCCCAACAAAGGAGTCCTCAAAGTTCCCCTACCAAGCCCTTTCCCAGCCCCAGGTCCTGTGCATGTCATCAGGTACTATAGCCTAGTCTGAGATGACTCACCCCCCAGACTGCATTCACCAGTAGATACTATAGTCTGGCCCAACCTGGTCCATCCTCAGCCCTCATGTGAACTGACAGGTGTTGAAGTCCAACTTGACCTGGCAGTGCCCCATCCTAGCTCATACCAGTGTGTGCTGTGGACTGGCCCAGCCCATTTCACCCTGAGACCTGATTCACACATATGTCAATGAATACTGCAACCCAATGTGGCCTGGCCTGCCCCAGCCCCACCTCATGTGCTCACTAGTGGGAGCTGCAACCTAGCAGAGGAGATCGCTAAGTTCCCCTGTCAGGCTGCTCCCAGCACTGGATCTCACATGTGCCTGCAGGTGCTGCAGCCCGGTCTGACAAGGCTGGCACCTAGTCCTGATACTGGCAGGTACTACAATCTATTTCAGCCTGTCCAACACCCATTCTGTCTCTTGCCAGCATCAGCAGGTCCTGCAGCCTAGCCCAGTCTGGCCTGCCACCCATACCCTGCCAACAGAGGCCTTGCCCAGCCCAGTCTACCCCAAGTCCCAGCTGTCAGGCTCACCAGTGGGAGCATGGGAGTTCCCCAAGTTTCCCTACAGGCACATTCCCAGTCCTGGATCTTGCACATGCTGGTGAGTGCTTCAACCTAGCCTGGCATGGCCCACCCATGGTCTCAGATCTTGCTGGTGGGTATTACACCCACACCCTGCCCTAGATCTCATGTGTGCCAGGGGATGCTGAGGCCTAGCCCAGCCAAGCCTGTCCCTAGACCCAGCCCACACAGACGCTGATGCTGATGAGTGCTATAGCCTGGCCTGGCTTGGCCCTCTCCCAGCTTCCCACTTTTGTACTCCCAGGGGAAGGAACCCCAAAGTCCCCTATCAGGCCTGCTTCTAGCCCCACATCTCATCCATGCTGGCAGGTGCTGCAACCCTCTTGGCATGGTCTGCCCTCAGAGCTAGCCTTTGTATGTGCTAGAGAATGCTGCAGCCCTGCCTTCTTCCAGCCCCAATTCCCACAAATGTCAGGTGGGTTCCACAGTCCAGCCTGGCTTGGCCAGTCACCACCCCCACCCTCTAGCTCTTCATGCAAACTGACAGGTGCTGTAATCCCACAGAAGTGAGCCCACAATTCTCTTAGAGAATCTGGCCCCAGATCCTGTTCTTTTGCATCCTAGTGAGTATTGTTGTCCAACCTGACATGGCTCAACTCTGTTCTAATACTTGCAAGTGGGTACTGTGGCCTAACCCAGCTAAGCGTATCCCCAGGCCCAGTTTTCTTTTCAAGCCAAGCTATTTTTTTTTTAGATTTTTTTTTTTAATTGGAAAGTCAGATTTATAGATAGATGGAGAGACAGAAACATCTTCTATCCACTGATTCACTCCCTAAGGCCCGGAATGCCAGCCTGTTATTATCTGTTTTTCTCCCAGCAGTGTAATGCCTAGGTATAAGGCAACCTGGGCAGTTGCCTAAGGCTGAAGATCCCCTGCATACTATTTTGCACTGAAACTATGTCCTGGCCCACCCATCCCTCTCTCCTTGCCTCCCCTGCAGTGGCTCATGGATTTATCCAGGGCGTGGGGCCATCTCAGCAGGAGAGGTAGGAAGCCAGGTCTTCCCCTCCTCTGCTTCTTACACTTGATAAAATTTCCTTAAAGACTGTGAGAGATATGCAGGTGCCCCCCGGGGGGGGGGGCGGTTCTGGAAGGAGCTGAATGACTGGAGTGCCTACTTGCTTAGCTTGAGAGCAATCAGTGTCGGTTTTCGCCAATTCTAACTACACAAGCACAGGTGCTTCTTCAACACCTTATCTGCTATCACTCTGCATCAGCAGCTGGGGAGTCCCACCTGCCTCCACCTAGGATGGATAGGATCCTGGAAGCCCCCAAGTGGGACCCCTGACTCCCCCGTGAGGAAGGTTCAGAGACGGGCTGCCTTCTCTGAACCGTAACTTCTCTCCTGAGGTTAAGAACCCCACAACAATCTTCATTCTACAGTAGATGGGGTGAGGGAGGTCTTTGAAAGTCACACATGCTCCTTACTCAATGACCCTCACCCTCCAGGGATAGCCATGGAACTCTAACCCACCTTCCTCTGTGTTCCACGTGTTCCAGCTCATCTCTTTCTCTGGTGCTTTTTTTTTTTTTCCTTAAGGATTTATGTATTTGAAAAGCAAAGTTAAGAGAGGGACAGGAAGGGAGAGACCTTTCATTCACTGGTTCACTCTGCAAATGAACACAACAGCCAGAACTGAGTCAGTCTGAAACCAGGAGCTTCTTCCGGGTGTCTCATGTAGGTGCAGAGACCCAAGGACTTGAGCTATGCTCCACTGCTTTCCCAGGCACATCAGCCGGGAGCTAGATTGCTAATGTAACAGCTGGGACTAGCATCAGGGCCTAGAGAGGATGCCAGCATCGCAGGCAGTGGCTTTAACTACTTTGTCACCACACTGGGGCCTGGAGCTCAGCCTTCCCACTACTCAGTCTCCTCCTCATTCACTGTCCACCAGGTGATGCAGTGGCTCTCGGGCCCTGGGGAGGAGCAGCTGGCCAGCTTTGCCATGCCTGGGGACTCCCTGAATGCTTTGCAGGAGACGGAGCTGCGATTCCGGGCTTTCAGCTCTGAGGCCCAGGTGAGCTGGGGAGCGGGGAGGACAGGGGCGGACTGGCCATGAGAGAGGCCTGTGTCTAGCATAGCCTCCCTCGCCTAGGAGCGCCTGGCCCAGGCACGGGAGGCTGCGGAGGAAGACGCTGCTTCCCAGAAGGTCCTGGATGTCTTTGAGCAGCGGCTGGAGCAGGTTGAGAGCGGGCTCCATCGGGCCCTGCGGCTCCAGCGCTTCTTCCAGCAGGTGCGTGCAGAGCCTCTGCCTTCTGCAACCCTTCCCTTCCTCTCTTCCACCTGGAGCAGCTGAGCAGCCCCTTGCTAAGAGTCCTTGGCTGTGGCTCAGCTCTGCCCCCTACCTGCAGAATGACCTAGGACAAGCTCTGCTTGTGCCTCTGTAGCAGAGATTGAGACAATCTGTGAGAGGGCTCAGATGCCTGCCCTTCCCCTGCCCCTCGGGATTCCCATTAGCTGCTTCTTTCTGAGTCCCGTGTCACCATATCAATTCCAGGCAACATGCTTACTGAGACAGGGGACACTGGGGAAAGAGAGGGTGACCCGCATTGGGATGCTGTCCAGTCAGAGAAAGGAGCTGCTAGGGAGCCACATTTAGAAGCAGCCTCAGGCCCTCACCTTCTCTCTCTCTTTCTCTCCCTCTCCAACCCTCCTGGCATTGCAGGCACACGAGTGGGTGGATGAGGGCTCTGCAAGATTGGCAGGAGCAGGGCCAGGTCGAGAGGCTGTGCTGGCAGCCCTGGCCTTGCGGCGGGCCCCAGAGCCCAGCGCTGGCACATTCCAAGAGATGCGAGCCCTGGCCCTGGACCTGGGCAGCCCAGCAGCCCTGCGAGAGTGGGGCCGCTGCCGAGCTCGCTGCCAGGAGTTAGAGAGGAAGATTCAGCAACAGCTGGGAGAGGAGGCGAGTCCACGAGGCCACCGGCGCCGGCGGGCAGACAGTGTCAGCAGTGGAGGGGGCCAGCGGGGACCACACAGCCCCTCGCCCAGCCTCAGCTCCCTGTTGCTGCTCCCCGGTAGCCCGGGACCACGGGCAGCCCCATCTCATTGCTCCCTGGCCCCGTGTGGGGAGGACTCTACTGAGGAGTGCCCAGAGTTGGGCCTGGACACAGAGGGCAGGCCCCCAAGGGCTGTGCTAATCCGAGGCCTAGAGGTGACCAGCACTGAGGTGGTAGACAGGACGTGTTCTCCGCGGGAACATGTGCTGCTGGGCCGCGCCGGGGTCCCTGATGGGCCCTGGGGAGGAGGCACCCCTCGAATGGAGCGCAAGAGAAGCATCAGGTGAGAGCCGGATCCAGTAGGTGCCAAGAGGCACAGCTAGCCAATCCTCCCAGCAAGGGTGACAGGGAGGGGAGGGCGGAGTCTACCAGGGGTGGAGGCCGTGGCGCCCCCGGATGAGTGACACCTCCTCTGCCCTACCCGGCCCTGCCCGTGTTGCACCTGCAGCGCCCAGCAGCGTCTGGTGTCTGAACTGATCGCCTGTGAGCAGGAGTACGTGGCCCTATTGAGTGAGCCAGTGCCGCCGCCGGGACCCGAGTTGAGCCCCGAACTGCGGGCCACCTGGGCGACAGCGCTGAGTGTGCGGGAGAGGCTTCGCAGCTTCCACCGGACGCACTTCATGCGGGAGCTGCAGGGCTGTGCCGCCCACCCGCTGCGCATTGGCGCTTGCTTCCTTCGCCACGTAGGTGATCTATGCCACCCGCTTCCTGCGTGCCTGCTCTGCTGCACCCCCGCATGACCCACAGCCCTTAGGGCCACTACTCCCCCTGCACCCCAATCCCTTTCTTAGTGGGACACTCAGTGCTCCCTAGAGGCCTCTACCTCCTCTGGGCTGCAGTGAGGATGAGGAGGATTGCGGGTTGGAGGGAGGCCTTCTCAGGATGCCTCACCCCTTTTCCCTTCCTCTTAGGGGGACCAGTTTAGCCTGTATGCCCAGTACGTGAAGCAGCGGCACAAACTGGAGCAGGGCCTGGTGGCACTCAGCCCCCCAACCAAGGTAACCTTTCTCCAGGGTGAAGGAGTCTCAAGAACCCGCCCCCACCCAAAGCCCCAGGGTCAGGAGAAGGAAGGAGGGAAAGAAAGTTCTCCTGGGGGTGCCCAGTGCAGGCCCAAGAAGTGCTGGTGGCAGACAGGTGCTGCCAGGTGTGCCCTGGTCTGATGCACCTAAGGTACCCTTGGCAAGAGTTGGTTCCTCTGGGGGCCACTCTTTGCCAATGAAGACTATTCACAGAGTGCACTGGGTACCCAGAGATCACAGCATGAGAGGTGACCATGACTGTCACAGTGAAACACCAGACAATAGCTTGGGGATATGGCAAAGCAATTGCCATCTCCCACAGGCCCTCTTCGAGCTTGCTTTTCCAGCTATGGGGAGACAGCCTACAGCCTTCAGGCTTGATCTACGCCCAGAAGTCGCCCACAACTCCCCCCACCCCCAATATACACCACCAGCTAAGCCCCCATCGGCCTCATGTTTGTCTCTTCCCAACCTAGGGCTCCACAGAGGGTGGCCCTTGCCTGCCACGAGCCCTGCAGCAGCCCCTGGAGCAACTGGCTCAGTACACGCGGCTCCTGGAGGAGCTGCTGAGGGAGGCTGGGGCAGAGCCAAGCTCAGAGCGCCAGGCCCTGGGGGCTGCCATGCAGCTGCTCCGGGAACAAGAGGTGCGCGGCCGGGACCTCCTGGCCGTGGAGGCCGTGCGAGGCTGTGAGGTAAGGCCAAGGCCAGGGTGCCAGCCTCACTCCACCTGCCCACGTCTCCATGGGCAGATGTGGGGTGCCAGACCCATGGTCAGAGAGTCCCAGGCTCTGACTTCTAACTGCCCCAATGTCACCTGGGTCCCACCCACCTTCCCGTCTCTTCCTGTGCGCTCTGACCCTTCCCTAATTCCTAGCTTCCCCTGTCCACTTGTGCCTCTTCCCACATCTGAATACTTTTCTCTTCTCCCTCCAGGAGTAAGCCTATTTCTCTTCTCTCTCTCTCTCTCTCTCCCCCCCCTTGAGTTCTCTGCTGCTTCTCTTCCTGCATCCATAGCTTCCTCACATGGCTGTAAGCCCTGCTAGCAATGCCCCTCTCCAGGGTCAGGGCTCTGCGGTTGGGCCAGTGTGCTGTGTGCATGGTGCCTGCGATGACAGGTCACTTCATTATGGTCCCAGTGCATCCCTGATCTCCCTCCTCTGCCCGTGAACCAGTGCAGTTGGCCCCTGACCTCTGTGAAAGCCCACGCAGAGGGCCAGGGGGCCATGGACTTGCCCTGCCCTTCCCCAGGTAGATCTGAAGGAGCAGGGCCAGCTCTTGCATCGGGACCCCTTCACCGTCATCTGCGGCCGGAAGAAGAGCCTGCGCCACGTCTTCCTCTTTGAGCACCTCCTCCTGTTCAGCAAACTCAAGGGCCTGGAGGGTGGCTCCGAGACCTTCGTCTACAAACAAGCTTTTAAGGTGTGGGAACTACAGCTGGAAGGTGGGGTCACTGGGGAGGAAGTCTCCTTGAGAATTCAGGGCTGCCCTGGAAATGCAGCCCTAAGCTAGACTCAATCCCACCACGTTAGATTCTAACAGGACCAGGTGCAGGGGCAGGGCCCAGGAGGGGGAGGGGAGGGGAGAGGATGGAGGCCTTGCCACGGGCATTCCTCTTGTTCATGAACACGTAGCTGTGCACAGGACCTGTGCACTGTGGGGCTGGAAGTCTCTGGGGAGCAGCAGGAAAGATGCCATAGGTAAGGTGTTTCCAAAAAGTCGTAGAAAACAGGATTAAAAAATATGTTTTTGGATGCAAACCATTTTGAAAGCCGTGCATACAAGGAGTCTTCAAAAAGGTCTTGTGAAATGCACGTGATGAAAAACATGGATTTCAACATGTTTGCACTGAAAAATAACCATTTTCAAAAACACTAGGTATATTTATTTGAAAATCAGAGTCACAGATGGAGGGAGAGACGAGAAAGATTTCTATTCCTCTGCTGGTTCACTCCCCAAATGGCTGCAACTGCTGGGGCTCAGCCAGGCTGAAGCCAAGAGCCTAGAACTCCATCCAGGTCTCTGACATGGGTGCAGGGGCCCAAGCACCCAGGCCATCTTCCATTGCTTGTCCAGGCTATCAGCAGGGAGCTGAATTGAAAGTGGAGCAGTTAGAGCTCAAACAGGTGCCCATATAGAATGCTGGTGGCTTAACCCACTGCACTACAGCAGCAGCCTGTAAACTTATCCATCATCCCCTTTTTTCTTTTTTCTTTTTTTTTTTTTTTGGAATATCCTTATATATAACTCAACCTGAATAAACTAAAAAACCCAAGGAAAGAGAGAGGCTGGCTCTAGGGAAGTGGCTTTGGTGCCCAAATCCATGCCCCTAGCAATCTGTGATCCCCAGGCACAGAGTGTAGGATGACTACATGGTCTAGCCTTGGTGTCTCACGCTCAGTGCAGCTCCCCAAATGGGAACACAGCAGAGCTAGAGGCGTAGGAGCATGGGGGGTCTGCATCCTGTGTTGGGTTAGCTATGAGAAGCCTGAGGGCCACCTGCTTCGTGTCTCTGGGTTTCACCTCCACTTCTGCACACAGAGGCCAGGACAACTGAACAGACAGCACCTGATACATGGCAGGGAATGAGCACTTAGGCGCAGCAGCTGGGCACCAGGTTGAGAGCCAGGGCATGCCCACCTGGTGCCACCTAGGCAGGACCAGGCCGTCTCCACCTCTCCCCTCTGCCTCCCCCAGACCGCAGACATGGGGCTCACCGAAAACATCGGGGACAGCGGCCTCTGCTTTGAGCTGTGGTTCCGCCGGCGGCGTGCACGAGAGGCATACACCCTGCAGGCCACCTCACCGGAGGTCAAGCTCAAGTGGACCAGCTCTATTGCCCAGTTGCTGTGGAGACAGGCGGCCCACAACAAGGGTACCGGGGCAGGGCATGCTGGGCACCTGGGATGGTGGCAGGTGCTGGGGGGAGACGGGGCAGACGGGGGAGCCTGAGGAAGGAGGAGGACTTGCGAGGAGTGTCAAGGTGTAGCTTGAGAGATGACTGCTGAGACTAGGAGACTAGTCTTCCGGGGCTGCAGAAAAGCAGAGAGCTGTTTGACCTCAGGGAAGCTGGAGCGAACAGCTGGGCACGGGCAGGTGAGACAGCACGTGCTGGGCAGGATGAAGCACAGGTGCCATGACTTGCTCTGGGACATGAACTAGTTACTTGGTTGGTTTAGTTTCTGAGGTGTTTGTTGCAGGAGGGTGTAGGGGTTTTAATTTTTTAAAAAGTTTTATTTACTTTTATTGTAAAATCAGATATACAGAGAGGAGGAGAGACAGAGAGGAAGATCTTCCGTCTGATAATTCACTCCCCAAGTAGTTGACAGCTGGAGCTGTGCTGATCCAAAGCCAGGAGCCTTTTCTGGGTCTTCCATGCAGGTGCAGGGTGCCAAGGCCTTGAGCCATACTCTACTGCTTTCCCAGGCCACAAGCAAGCAGCTGGATGGAAAGCGGGGCAGCCAGGATTAGAAGTGGCACCCATATAGGATCCTGGCACGTTCAAGGAGAGAACTTTAACCACTAGGCTACCGTGCTTGGCCACCGTGCTGGGCCTGGGGTTTGAATTGTAATTATCTGAATTCTCCTTCTCTGAAGAACCAAATCATGACATCACAGTGTCACAGGGAGGATTCAATAAGGTAATATGCAAGGAAGCACTTCGTAGCTATTACCATGTGTGAGGTGTAAGGATTTAAAATATATCTATTTATTTATTTGAAAGAGTCCATCGTCCGTCCATCAATTCACTCCTCAGACAGCCGCAATGGCCAAGGCTGAGCCAGGAGGAGGCCAGGAATTCCATCTAGGTCCCTCGTGTGAGTGGCAGGGACCATCTCCCACTGCTCTCCCAAGCACATTAGCAGGGAGACTGATGGGGCGTTAGCATTCTGCTAGTGAACACTGGCATCCCGAGCAGCACCTTCACCTCTGTGCCACAACAATGCTCTCTGCACCTTTTTGTTAAAGGTTTCTTTCTTTTTCTCTTTAAGATATATTCATTTTTATTTGAGAGACAGATTTACCAAGAAAGAAGGAGAGAGAGAGACATACCTTCCATCTGCTAATTCACTCCCCCAAATGGCCACAGTGGCCGAGCTGGATTGATCTGAAGCCAGGAACCTCCTTTGGGTCTCCCATGTGGATGCAGGGACAAAAACTTGATCCATCCTCCACTGCTTTCCCGCGCCATAAGCAAGGGAGCTAGATCAACAATGGAGCAGTCAGGACATGAACCAGCATCCAAATAGGATACCGATGCCACAGGTGGAAGATAAGCTTGCTAAGCCACCACATGGGCCAATGATCTATTTCTTTGAAAAGCAGTGTGACAGGGAAAGAGAATGAAAGAGAGAAATCGCTCATCTGTTGCTTCACTTCCCAAAAGACGACAACAGCCAGGGCTGGGCCAGGCCAAAGACCCAGGAATTCCATCCAGAACTCCCATATGAACGGCAGGAACCTGAATACTTGGGCCAATACCTGTAGCCTTCTCAGGCGCATTGGCACGAGGCTGGGTTGGAAGCAACTAGCCAAGACAAGAACTGGCATGTTCCAGCATTGCAAACGGCAGCTTAGTGTGCTGCACCACCACTCCAGTCCTGCACAGTGCTCTTAACGCCCAAGATCAAGGGAGAAAGCAGGGTGCCATGTTAGGAGTTAGGCGTCTGGGAGGCTCCACGCATGGGATGCAGTGGATGGGAGGAAGCCATAGGGGGCTGTCCATATGCATGTCGACGACAGCAGAGGGATGGGAGGCAAGGTGGACTGGCATGGCGTGGGGTGCTCTGTGTGGCACAGGTAGGGGTTGCTCACAGGGTCCCTGTCCCCTAGAGCTCCGTGTGCAGCAGATGGTCTCCATGGGCATTGGGAACAAACCCTTCCTGGACATCAAAGCCCTGGGGGAGCGGACACTGAGTGCCCTGCTCACCGGAAGAGGTGAGCACTGTGGTGCTGGGGGAAATCCTCAGAAGCCAGGCCCTTGACCACAAGGGGCCTCGGCAATGGAGAAGTCTGGTGGACGGGAAAGGGAACAAATGGGCATCTCTTCCCCAGGATCCATGGGACTGACTGGGGTCCCTCCCTGGGGGGTGGGGAGGGGTGGACTGAGCACCATTCCAATGAGCCGGGAGAGCTCTCACACACCAGCACCCCACCCTACCCCACCCCAACCCCCCGACTCTCTGCAGCCGCCCGCACCCGGGCCTCGGTGGCCGTGTCATCCTTTGAGCATGCCGGCCCCTCCCTTCCCGGCCTCTCACCGGGAGCCTGCTCCCTGCCCGCCCGCGTCGAGGAGGAGGCCTGGGATCTGGACGTCAAGCACATTTCCCTGGGTGAGGCCCCTGGCCAGGGGTGGCTCCCACAGCTGGGGTCATCACGGCAGATGTTCAGGCTGCTTGCTGCTGAGCAATGCCTTTTTCTAGCCAAGGAGCCCAGTTGCCATGACAACTGTGTACAACCTCCCCACTGCTAAAGGAGCCTCCTGTCTGGTTGCTAGGGTGATGCTTATAGCAGCCTGTTGCTAAGAAGCACTTCCTCTGTACCTCTCTTTCTAGCTCTCCTTGGGTTTCCATGGAAACCATCTCAGCTCCCCGTTGTATCCTCCTGGTCCACCACCGTCTCTCCTTGTTTCCTGTCGCTTCCTCCCTGGTTGCTTTAACGATGCTGCTGACAGTTTCCTGCCTCTTGGTAGGGGGGTTCTCTTGCTACCCGGATTGCTATGAAGCTTGTTCTTCCCTGATGGAGCAGCTTGGCGCTTAAGGTCCCCCGAAAGGCATCCCGTACCCTGCTCTCATCCTAGCTTCCCCTCCAGCCCCAGAAACACTTGACTCTTCTGGAGATGTATCCCCAGGACCAAGACACAGCCCCAGCCTGCAGCCGCCCCACCCTGGGAGCGACACTCCCACCCTGGCCAGTGGCGGAATCTCAGGGCTGTCCCGGCAGGTAAGTGCCTGCGATGAGGCTGGGAATGGGTGACCCCCTTTGGTGACTTGCTGATGATTCAAGCAGAGAAGAGGTGGTGGAGGAAGAGTTGGGGTGCAGGGGACAAGCTGGAAGGGACCAGTGATGCTGTTCTTCCAGCGGAGCCTATAGTGGACTTACTGTCCCCAAGGCCAGAGGAGGGAGGAAACCTTTCACAGGCAGCACGCTGCTGGAGTGGATCAAAGGGGGAAAAGGCCAATGACCTGCCTGGAGTTGGGTTAGATTAGCAGAACTCAGGAAGTGGAGGGGCGGAGGGAAGGTAGTCAAAGTCTGTCAGCAAAGCAGCCACACCTTCTCTCCCTCAGTGTCACACCCGAGCCCTGAGTGACCCCACCACGCCTCTGTGACCTGGTAAGCCACCAGCAGCCCCCCTCTCCCTCTTCCCCGGCTTCCTCTCGCATGCACCTGCCTCCTCCTGCTCCCCTCCTCAGCCCTAGTGCTGGGGACTCCTTCCCTTTCCCAACCCTCCCCCCTCTCTCCTGGCAGCCCCTGTTCCCCGCACACTGTGGGCCAAAAAGGCAGCAGGACCCCAGGGCAGGCCGGAAGAGCCCACAACACCTTCTCTCTGCCGAAGAGGAGGGGTGCAGGCCGCAGCCCTCCCTGGCTGCACGATGGCCACTAGCTCTCCCCAGCTCAGTGCCTTCAGACAACGACATGGTCAGAGCCACCACAGTCGCTTGCCTTCAGACCTCTTCCTGTCCTGCCCCACCTAGGGGGACACTCGCGTTCCCAAGCTGGCTTGCTTCTCCTCCTGTCACCCCAGCATGGCCTCTCTGCCCCAGGAGGTCTTGGTGACTCATTTCCCGGAGTCACAGGGAATGGAACTCTGTGGACCATTACAGGGGGGTGGGCTAGTAACAGCAGACTTTATATGTGTAATTACCATTACTATAATACTATTGTTACATTAAATGTATTTACTCACTTTGCCTCAAGGAGTTAGTGCTATCCTGAAGGTTATGGCTAGTCATAGTAACTGGAGCAGGTCCCCAGGTGAAGCAAGGATCACAACACAAAATGTCCCGTCCCTCTCACCCCAGGAAGCAGGTTGGGGGGGCGACTCCTCCACTGTGGCTCCCAGCTTTCCACTCCCACTCTGCACCCACATCTGGAGACTGAACCTGCCACAGACCAGCTGGGGTCCAGTTCAGTCTAGCAGTTCTCAAAATGAGGCGGCCCAGGGCACAGTGCACAGGAGCCCGTGAGGCTACTTCATGTCACCTCTAGGAGCTGGCAAATCGCAAAGCTGGCAGTGCAGCCCAAGATCCTGCACTTCTCACCAGCCTCTTGACTGCTTCCTGGACAGGAAGGGTTGGGGTGGGGGGCGGACTGCAGGGACCAGCGCGGAGGGAGGCAGACACCGGGCTCTGTGCCTCAAGACACCTGTTTATTGGGGACACGACTTTGAAACAGGGAGGACAGGAATCGTACCAAAAATAGCGACGTCTACAGGGCCCCGACGGGGCAAGAAGGGTACAGTGCCCCCACCCCCACCCTTGTACAAAAATATACTTTCACGCCTATGGACCAGCAGAGACTGGCAGAGCGGCTCCTAGGCAGGCGCACACCCTTCTCTGCCAGCCCCAGGACCCCGTTTTCTGACCCTCACCTCTGCCACTTCTAAGGCACTGTGACTCCCCTGGGCTGAGTGGGTTCCGCAAGCCCACCCTCCTACGCCCGCCACCCCCTCCACCAGCTGGTCCGCCTGGGGCTGGGATGTGGGTCCCACGCTGCCCCCTGCTGGCTGCTCTACCCTACTACCTCTAGTGCTCGCCGCCGCTCCAGCACGGCGAACTCACTAAGCTAATCACCCCCTAATAGGGCTATCCTACCGTTCCTGCCCCCCTACCCCTGCTTCTCCCGACCTCGACAGACCGGGGCCGTCCTCGCCCTCCATCGGGGGGCTGGGCGGGGTCTCTCCCGAGGGCGCACGGGTATAGGGCGGAGAGGCGTCGGCCTGGGGCAGCCGGCGGCCCCGGGCACGGCGGCTGTGGTGCACCTGCAGGTGCAAGGCCATGAGCTCGGCAGCTCCAGTGGCAAAAGGGCAGAAGAGACAGCGGTGGAGGGTGCCCCCGGGGCCGCCAGCCTCGCTCCCCGGCCCCGCCCGCAGGGACAGGTCCAGGGGTTCGGCCTCACCGCCTCCTCGCCCGTTGCGCAGGGTCCTCCCGGGACTAGCGGGCTTCCTGCGGGACCCCGGCCCGGCGCCGCTCGAGGGAGGCCGGGGGCTCGCAGCACCCTCCACCCAGCTCGCAGGCTGCTGTGCCTGCTTGGCTCCAGACGGCGGGGCTGAACCCCGCTGGGAAGGGGGTGGCGGCGGCTCCGGAGGGGGCCCAGGGCCCGCCCCGCTCTTCTGCTCGCGGTGGTGGCGCTGCAGGTGGTACTTGAGAGAGCCGGACTGGGTGCCCGCGTAATCGCAGTGCGGACACTTGTAGGGACGCTCACCTGGGGAGTGGGGCAGGGATCCTGATAACCGCACACCGCCCCCACCTGCCCATCCCCGCATTTCCCGACCTCACCTGCGGGGCCTCGGCAAGCTACCCTGATGCCAAAAGGGGCGCCTGATCTCCCACCGGCTCCCCGCTGGTTGGTGCTCCAGACCCTCGCCCTCCCAGGGGGCTGCCCGGCACTCACCTGTGTGCACCCGCAGATGCACCTTGAGGTGATGCGCTGAGCGGAAGGACTTGCCACAGAAGGGACAGTCCTTGCCGGTGGCCCCGCGGCCCCCTTCAGGCCGGGTCCCTCCAACCAGCAGCCCATTCTCCTCTGCAAGAGAAGGGCAGGTCAGGAGGGTGGTTTGTGTACACCCCCACACCCGGCACACACACACACCCCCAGGTGGAAGGTAGCAGAGAAGGGAGTGGGGACGGGGAGGGACGACAGCAGTCATGTTCAGCCAGGTCGGGGTGGGGGACAAGGCGTGCCAAGAAGAGAAGGTCCCACGTACCCTGCGTGCCCGAGGACCTCGCCTGGGCGCCCGCGGCAGGTGTGGAGTGCCCGGGCCCGTCGCCCGCGGCACGCGGATGCACGGAAGCCAGGGGAGCCAGCGACCGGCCCCGGGCCCAGGCCTCCTCCTCGGCCTCCACCACCTCCTCTTCCTCGTCCTGCTCCCCGGGGCGCTGCCGGCGAGCTCGGGCCGGCATGGCGGCAGGCAGCGGGCGGAAGCCTCCGAAGCCGCGGCCGGCGCCGGGCTCTGCGCCCTCGCCGTTGGGCCGGGCCTCGCCAGCTCGCAGGCTCAGGTAGCCCAGGAGGCTCGGGGGCTCCCGGCGCTCGGCCGGGGTGGGCGCGGGGGCCAGCAGCAGCGCGGGGCCCAGCGGCTCGTAGGCCAGCAGGCCCAGGTCGGCAGGCTGGGGGGCCCGGGCAGGCCCCGAGCCGGACCCCGCCGGGGCGGCGCGCAGCGGGCCCAGCTTACTGGCGTGCACCTTCATGTGGTTCTTGAGGAACCAGGGCTCCTTGAAGCAGCGACCGCACACGGGACACGCGTGGTCGAAGGAGGCCTTGTGCTTGCGCATGTGGCCCTTGAGAAACCACGACTGGGTAAAGCTCTGGCCGCACACTTGGCAGCGGAACTCCGGAGGCGCGGGCGGCTCCTCGGGGGCGGCCGGGGCGGGAGCCGGCGTGGCCTCGGGTTCGGGCTCCGGCTCAGGCTCCGGTTCTGGAACCGATCGGGGTTCGGGCGGAGGCGGAGGCGGAGGCGGAGGCTGGGGTGCGGCGGAGGCGGCCGCCAGGGGGCGTTCGGGAGCCCCGTGGGCCGTCAGGCTGTGGTGCAGCAGCTCCTCCTCGTGGCTGGAGCCGAAACTGCACAGGCCACACTTCCAGGGCCTGTGCAGGATGTGCAGATGGCGTTCCCGCTCCGCAGAGGTGCGGAACTTGCCTTTGCAGAAGGGGCAGCGGAAGGCGGATGGCGAGGGGCCCTGAGGCCGTGCCAGACCCTCGGCGGCGGCGGCGGGAGCGGCCTGCATGGCCCCCGAGCTTCGGGCCCTTCCCTGTCGGGCTTCGCGCAGCAGCGCACGTTCTTCCAATTCCAGCAACAGGCGGGCGGCGGGACTGCGAGGGCGCTCGGGCTGGTGCGTGCGCAGGTGCGAGCGCAACAGAGCCCGCTGCGCAGCGCGGTGGCCGCAGTGCGGGCACTGGAAGGCCTGGGCGCCTGGGTGCGCCCGCAGGTGTAGAGCCAGGATGGAGTTGAAGCGGAAACGCTTCCCGCACACCGGGCAAGGGAAGCGCCGCTCGCCTGCTCGACTCTCAGACCAGCCCACCGTTCCCATCCCGGGCGACCCCGCGCTCACGCCTGGCCCGTTGGAGTAACGTTGCAAATCCAGCTCGCCGTCAAAGGCCGGTGGTGACGGCGTTAAATGGCCGCCTGGCGCGCGGAGACGTGAGCCCTGGGGCGGGGGAGAAGAATGTAGAGCAAAGGGTAGACAGCCAAGGAAGAAGGGAGGCGTGGGCTGGGCCCTGGAGCCTGGATCGAGCACCAATCACTTCGGGAAGTTGGGGGACTAGTGTGCATGGGGACGCAAAGACCTAGCAGGTGAACAGCCCCTACTGGCAGGCCCGGGACGGGGTGGGCAGTGGGGGCACAGGGGGAACTGTGGGCAAGGCAAGCCGGAGGGAGTGGAGTGGCTCTCTTGCGGGTTCAGGCCAGGGCGTCACTCACCTCCATGGACGCCCTTCACATTCTTTGGTTCTGGGGAGTGCAGGGAAGAGGAGGGAAAGCTGCTAATGAAGGCAACAGGTGCCGAGGAGCTAAGACAAGAGAAACAGAGGAGAGAGGAAAAGGTGAGAGCCCTGGTTAGCACCAAGCCTAGCTAGTCTCCCTGTATCCTTTCAGCACGTGGGAGCACAGGGAAGGTGCTGGCCAGGCCCTGGATAACCCTCGGTTCTCCCCCAGCAGCAGCCCCCCGTCGATGGGGTAGCCTGGGGGGCACATCACAGGATACACCCCGTCAGAGTGGGGCTGTGCACTGAGTTTGCCCGTGGGTGAGCTTGTCCTGCTCAGGGACTGCCCCAAGTCAGACCAGGAGAATCCGGAAAGCTGCCCCACCAGCCAGCCACAAATCCTCCCAGCTCCCCAGCTTTCCTTCCTTCCCTCTGCCCTTACCCTGTCTTTCTGTCTTTCTCCCTCTTCCTCCCTCCCTCAGCCTGGATTCCTGATCCATTCATTTCCATTCATTACAGAGACTCATTCATGCATGGGAGAGAAACACCTCCCAGCAGAGTCTGGAGACAGGCAGAGGGGGAGGGGCGTGGAGGGGGAGAGCGAGCTGGAAGGAGCGTGTTGGGGGAGGAGTGGAAGTGAAGGGGCACTGCCAAGCTTGCAGGAGGGGTTAAAACCTGCTGGGGGGAGACCACAGAGCCTTCACCCCCCAGGTTTCCAACCTTGGTCCCCGGGATCTGGAGGGGGTATCGCTGCCCCTTTGTCCAGGGCCGTTCCGAAGCTGGCTTCCCTCCTCTCCGCAGGGGAGAGGCTCCCTCACACAAGAGGAGGATTACACTGGCTCGGAGCTCAAGAGGCAGGAGTGAGGCACGGGGGGCGGGGCCGGGCCATCTGCACAGATAGGGGCCAGGCACCGGCTCTGGGTGGGAAGGGGTTAAAATTCTCCAAGCTAAAATTCCCTAGGCCTGGGATGTGCAGAGTTCCAGGGCTGGAGAGGAAGGGGAGCTGTCTGAGCTGCAGAGGAGGTGTGTCCAGGCACCCCCAGGATTGAGCTTCAGACAGGCAGGCCTGGGAGAGGCTGAGCCAAAGTGGTTCCAGTGACACTGGCCCTGCATTCACCTGGATAAGATGCCTGAGGCGCCATGGATGTGGTCCTAACCTAGTTCTTTGCCCAGACAGAGGATGTCAGCTACAATGAACTTCCTGACAATAGGCATTATGAAACCAAAATGGGTTACCGAGAAAAGACAAGGACTCAAGCCTCAGTGTGTGTAAGGATTTTTCACTGAGGAGAACTGGGCCAGCAGCCTGCCCTGCTCTTCAGCAGCGAGGGCCAGCATCTTCCCTTTGCAACAAGCTCCCTGAAGGGGTATGGGACTTCCCGCAGAGGGGCAGGCAGCTGTTCTGTGGACATGTGGCTGGTGGTGAGGATGATCAAGGGGCTTCAGAGAGTGTCCCAGCCAGTGGTGACAGAGGACCAAATCAGGGCATCTGCCCTCCTCCCCAACTGGCAGCCCAGAGCCAGGCAGGAGCCAGGGCATCAAGTGGCGAGTGGCGGGAACTGGACGGAGTGGCGGGACCACCGTAGGTCCAGCCTGACCCTTCACAGCCTCACAAGCTGAAGTGGAGACGAGCCTCACAGACCACACATCTATAGAACAAGGGGTGGGACTCACTGCCCCGACAGCCCTCTCCCCCTGGAAAGAGTCGGGGTTCTAAGCCCCAGGCGCTCTTCTGGACCGAGATGCTAGGACAGCCGGCCATCTCCTTCAGTACCATGGAGAGTGCAGTGGGCTACCAAAGAGCCGCTGGGGCCACCTCAGGACCATAGAGAGGAGCTGTGACGGCTAGAGGGGCCAGGACGGCCATGTGAGCTTCACACGCTGCCAACAGTGAGGGGATTTTTTTTTTAATTTCCTATCTGAGAACCACAAGAGGAAAGAAAAAAATCAGCAGTGCCAGAGGGATTATTTTGGCCTTTTGGTTGTCACTGGAAATAGACAGAGGTAATCGAAAATAGATGTAACTGAAAGCATTTGACTGAGCTATAAGGAGTGTCCCAACAGCTACAGATCCTGCATCCTGGAATGAGCTACTGAGGCGTCGTGTTTGGGTCCGTCACATTCTGTTGCTCTCCTGGGGATTCCCGGAACATCCTGGTGTACAGCCAATCTGGTGTGTTCAGAGGAAGCAGATGGCCGTGGGGAGGGGGGGAAGGCTGGGAATACTGCATGGTCATAGCTGACTAACCTATGGGCACACACACAGACTCTAGGACAAACCTAGGGCCCGGAAGACCAGCCTGCAAGACAGCAAACACAACACCTCCAACCAGGCCGGCCTCACTCAGAGGAACAGGACACAGCTGCCCCCGTCAAAACAAAACCACCCTGAACCTCACTGTGCACATGGCAGCTCCCTGGATGGAAATACTGTGATACATGCGATTATAGGTTGGAAACCCAGACTGAAGCCGTGTCCCCCAGCAGGAAGTTTCCCCCCCCCCCCCGCCCCGTCCCGTCCCGAAGATGACTCTACATCCTTCTGGGCCCAGGCAAGAGCCCCTGATTCGGTTCCACACCAAAACCAGGGGCCAAGGTCCTGAGCACCACACACAGCGGGACCACAAGAGCCTGGGATCCATCAGGCCGCTCGGTCATGTGCGCATGGCCTGCGGACAGCACTCTGAGTGTTCTATCGTCAGGCCTTAAACGCCATCCACGAGCCACGGCCAGACAGCCGCACTGACCTACTTTCCAACCCCACTGGGAATCAAGGGTTACTCTGCCCTTATTTGGATTCTATAGGGATGCAGGGCCCGGGAAGGATCAGACATCTTCCCCAAAGCAACAGGCCAATGACTGTTCCAGGCCAGGGGAACTGGCACAGAGAGGGGCTGTGGACCACCGCACACCCTCACTGTGCAGTACTGGCGAAGAGACTCAGAAACAAGGACAGGTACAGAGAAGCATCTGCCAAATGGAAGACCACCAAGCTCGTCCCCCAAGCCCTGGCGCTCGAAAGCTTCCAGGATCAAAGCATCAGGGACGAGGGGTCAGGGCTTGTGGGTTCCAACTGTCCCTGGGACACGCCGTTTCTCCCCTCTGTGGGAGCCCGATGCACCTCCCAGGTCTGGTAACAATTACCATCACCCCTGAACCAGAGGAGGTTAAAAGCAAAGGAATCACGGCCACCACACTGAGTGGCCAGGGGTGCACGTTTATGGTTTCCTGTCTCCAGACAGCTAAACCCACCCTACTCGGCGACTTTCCCTCTAAGTTTGTGTGGAAAGCCTCCCCTCCCACTAACCCACCCCATTCTCACCCTCGGGTCTGCAGCCCCAGTTTTGCAGGAGGAGGTACACCTGCCGCCACCCACCGCCCCTGGTGGCCAATCTCATCGCAGAGGCATGTCCTAACTCGACCCTGCTTCTCCAAGTTCTGGGAGGCCCTGATGGGGGGGGGGGAGGAGGCGTGCAGTCGGCCCTGAGCCCCCCATTCACCGGCGCTGACCCTACTGAAGCCTAGAGACATGGCACCCTACAGGCGCCTTGGTCTTCAGAAATGGGGGGGTGGCGGAGGTGGGGGTGGCAGGAGGGGCCTATGGGAAAAACCCCCTCCCAGAGAAATCGGCTGGCTGGGGCCTCAGATCGCCCGCGAGGGGTGCTTCCGGCAGCACCCCACACCCCTCCCAGGGAGGAGAAGCCGCAAGGAAGATGGGGGCCAGGGTCGGGAGATAGCGAAGCCAGGGCCCAGCTGCCCCCGGCCGGGAGAACAAAAGCTGAGTTACAGCCGCCTCCGCCGCCGCAGCCGCGGGCCGAGCTCTTTGTGACACTTTGTTTGGGACGCGGCAAGGGAAGCACCCCCCATCTTCTCCCTTCTCCCCGCCCCCCCTCCACTCCCGGAGAGTTTGGGTTCCTGCCCCCTCCCCCACCAGCCCTACCTGGGCCGGGGAGGGGGGCGCTCGCCCACTCCCCCTGGCAGCCCGTCCGCCCCGCGCCCCCAGGGTCCCCCCTCGCGCGCCCTGCCTCCGGGCCCCTACAAAGACGCCACCCCCACCTCCCAGCGCCCCCCCACACCCGCCGCTGGCCCTTCCCCCTGGGCGTCTGCTCTCCGAGCCCCCCCCATCTGATCCCCCTCCCCCGGGACCCCCCCTCAGCTCTCCAGGCTTCCCAGGCCGCCACCCCCACCCCGCCCCCCAGGAGCTCTGGGCGAAGTTTGCTTGGGGCCGAGCCGGCGCCCCTCCCCCGCCCCCGCCCCCTGCACCTGCTCCGAGCCGGGCGCGCGGAGCGGGCCCCCCCTCGCCCCGCTCCGGGAGGGGGGAGGGGGCTGGGGGCGGGGGCCGGGCGGCGGGCGGGGGGGGGAGCCGGGAGTCGGGGGGAGCGGCTACTCACGAGCCCCGGGCGGGCGGCGGCGGAGCGGGCGGCGGCGGCGGCGGCGGGCGGCGGGCCGGCGGCGCGGGCGTCAGCGTTACGTGGGGCCGGGGGAGATGCGCCGGGCCCCGGCCCCCCCGCCCCCGGCCCGGCCCCCGCCCCCTCCCCGGTCCCCCGCCCCCGGCCCTGGCCCGCATTGTGTGCGGCGGGAGGCGGCCCGGCCATTAGCATGCGGGGGGCGGCGCGGCGGGGCTGGGAGCGAGGCGCGCGGGAGCAGGGCTCCGGCTCTGGGGACGCGGAGCCGGGGACCCCGGGAGCCGCGAGCGGCGGCCGCCAGGGGCGGGGTGCGGGCGGCGAGGAGACTGGGGGGCGCTGTGGGAGGGAGCGGGGGTGGGGCGCGCGGGCGATTCCAGCCGGAGACTGGAAGAGATTTTGAAAGGTCATCTCGTCCTTCCCCCAGCCTGCCAGCGGGACTGCCCCTCCCACCCCAAACCCGGACATACCAGGGAAGGAGTTGGCTCTACCGCCGTTTCTGCCCCGACATGCACAGACTCGGGGAAGTTCTTCCTAGGGTTTTATCTCGGAGCCTCTCCCTTAACAATTTCTGTCTCTCTTTTTGGGGAGGAGGAGGGGCGATCACAGAGATAGTTAATGTCGGCCGTATAAGAAACATTATTAAAGTTACTGTTCCCGTCCTTTCTGTTCCCGAGGAACGATTCCAGCGCCTTCCACTCCTTCCACTCGAATGCTACTGCCCATTCCTGAAGTCATTTTAGTGGCTCTTCAACACAACAAATATTGACTGAGGGCTTACTGAGGAGGACCAGGCCTTGTGCTGGGTACTGGGGGCGATGAACAGACAGCTGAGGGGCCACAGAGGGTGGGGGTGTACCTTCCTTCCAGTACTCCTGTTCTAGGCGAGGGGCTACAGACTTGCTTGTGGTGTACTCCGAGGAAGTTCCACCATAACTGAACGCCTGGCCACCTATGTCGCTGTGCACAGTCCTTCTAACAGTCCTCCTATATAATTAGTCCCCATTTACAGATAAGGAAAATGAGCTTGGAATGAGGCTCTTTCCCTGCTGGGCCTCAAGTTCAAGGATCCTCGGCCCACGCCCCAGCGTCTCACGTGGCCAACACACATGGGAACTGAGGGGACAGGAAGAAACACACACAGTTCTCCACCTTTCAAAAATGTGAATTCCCCCTCCCCCAGGAAATGAAAGAGTGGATATAACTGCCGCAGCCAGGGGGGTGTGAGCGGTGCCCGGAAGGGTTTCCCAAGACCGTGTCTCTTACTAAACGGCCCTTAGGGCGTCTTCTGGCTCAGCCTTCTCCTATCAATAACAATAAATAATCATCATGATCACGGCTGCAAACGCAGATTGAGTTTAGCTGGACTCTGCTGATTCATGGGCCTCTTCCCTTTGGATGCTGCAGGCAAGCCCCTTGAGATTGGTATTAACTTCCCCATACAGATAAAGAATCAGAGATTAAAGGACTTGCTCAAGGTCACCCAGGTGGATTTGGAGTTGGGAGGTAGACCTCAAGCTCTGCACGGGAGATAAGCCTCTCCCACCTTGGAGCACGGGGCTCATTGAGGCCCAGCTAGAAGTCTCTGTCCGCAGCTCAGCTTTTGAAGAAGCCCATTAATATGTGGGCATCAGGCACCTTGGTATGACCTCAGGGGCACCACTTATGCAGTCACAGCCTTAACCCCATTTTATTGGGGAACAAACTGAGGCTCCAGCAGGTAAAAGAATGTGTCGAGGTCACAATACTTAGGAAAGTGGCAGAGCTAAAATTCTAAGCTGGTCCTGTCTGCCCACAGGCATCTTCTATTTCATTCTTGTTTGTAAATATTTATTTATTATTATTGGAAAGGCAGATTTACAGAGAGACAGAAAGACCTTCTATTTGCTGTTTCGCTTCACAAATGGCTGCAACGGCCCGAGCTGAGCCAGTCTGAAGCCAGGAGCCTCCTCCAGGTCTTTCATGTGGGTGTAGGGTCCCAAGAACCTGGGCCATCTTCCACTGCTTTCCCAGGCCAGAAGCAGGGAGCTGGATGGGAAGTGGAGCAGCTGGAACATGAACTGACACCCATATGGGATACTGACTCGCAAGCAGAAAGTTAACCAATTGAGCCACTCACTGTGCTGGCCCGCATGTTCTGTTTCCAGCAAAGTGTGGCAGCAGTAGACACTACCTGGGGCTCCGCACACATCAGAGGGCCTGGTTTCCAGCTCTGCGTTCCAGCTCCACTTCTGCTCCAGCTTCCTGCTAATGCAGGCCCCAGGAAGCAGCAGATGATGGCCCAAGCACTTGCATCCCTGCCATCCAAGTGAGAGAACAGGAATGAGTTCCTGACTCCCAGCTTGGGCCTGGTCCAGCCACAGCTGTTGGCAGACATTTGAGCTGTTAAACAGCAGTCTGACCTTGAAGTGCATGTATCAGAACTGGGCCTCCTCAGCTGCTGATGCCTGTGCAGTGGACCGCATGCCTAGATGCACATGGGGGACAGGACAACCAGCTCCTCCAGGCCAGCAGAGGACATTAAGTGACTTGTCAGAGGATAGAAAGCAGAAACAGTTGGACCACTGTCCTGGCCAAGCTTTGCAACATGTTCCTGGGCTTTCGGATGCACTCAGGTGGACTTGGTCAGACAGCAGACCTTGGTAAGCCAACAGACCTTGGAAAGAATTTCTCAACCCTGGTACAATGGTGCAACAAAGCCAATGACGCCTCAGAACTATCAGAATCACTCAGGTAACACCCTCGGAACACTCTGCCCCACACTGGGGTCTCTAAGGCATCAGTGGACTGTACCTTATCCCCAGGTGCTGATATAGTTTGACCTTTTCCCCACCCCTTATACCACCTTATCTCCTCCCCCGACCCTGCAGTGGACACAGTAGAAAAAAAGAAATATTTGTCCCACCCACCTTCTTCCATACCTGACTTTCCCTGCCCTAATTGGAGGTCCACATTGGCATGCATCCCTCTCAACTATATAAACAATATTAAAAATAAAATTTAAATTTAAGAAATTGAGGTTTTTGCAGATGAAAGATCTCTGTCAACTGTGCTCCTCTGACTTTCAAGCAAAATAAACCTACATTTAAAAAAATTTTTTTTAATATAGCAATAGTATCTTTGCCTAGAGTGACAGTGCTTCTAACAGTCATCTCTGTTAGTTTAGCTTCAGTTTACCAGAGTCCAGAGCCACTGCCACTACAACCAGGGCTCCCTGTCCATTAGTGTCCAAGGGAGGAGGGACAGGAGAAAAGTGTGAGATAGAAAGCCAGAACCTAGCCTGGGGACAAAGCTGCAGGTGCTCATTAATGGCTGTAAGCTGGCTAGGAAAGAGCAAGTCATTGGAGGAGGAAGACCCAGACAGGGGAAGGGTGGAAATGAAGGGGAAATGGAAGGTCCAGGGTGTTAGTGCCCATAGGGATGAGGTGAGAGAACCCAAGAGGAATCATGGGAGCTACAGGAGCAGAAAGAGGGCTGGGTGTCTTGTGGAGGGAGCCAGCTGGTATCTACCCAGGGCCACTTCCTGGATCCTGAGATCCTCACAGGGACCTTTGCCCCACCACGTCCCAGTCCTGACTGCCTCTCTCTACCAGGATGGATTTGTCCTGTCGTCTGCTCTGAGCTGCCAGGCCCCTCAGGAGTCCTGGGGACTCAGAGCGTAGCCGCTTCAAACTAGGTAGGTGTGTAACCCGGAGTCTCCACTCCCCAGGATGTGGGCGTGGGCAGATGGGGAGCTGGCTGCTGAGAGACAGGCTCCAGAAGGCATTTTCCCCCAGCCTAGGAAGCACGCCGCTGTCGTGGTCATCAGAGCCATGAAGGCCAAAGGTGGTGGGCGAGAACAGGAACGACCGAGCCTTCGTCTGGAAAAACTACAACACTGGGCAAGGCAGAGGCACAGCGGGCACCTCCTGGGGCTGGCGGTGAGGCAGGCCACCTCCCCCCCACACACACCCTTTGCTCCCAGCATGTTCATGTATATCCACCAGCTACCACCTGCGAGAAACTGTGCTAGGCTCGGAGTGGGAGGAGAGGGGATCCCATCGCCAGGTAGCTTCTAACAGGTGCAGCGAGCACACAGGTAAGGAAGCAAACTGCTCCGGCCCTTGCTGGAGGACTTGCCTCCGCCAACAGCCATTACCGGGCTCTAGAAGAGACAGGGGACTGTGAGGAGGGGAGGATGTTCCTGGCTGCGCCCCCTCAACGGCCCTGCCTTGGCCCCTAGGTCACTCAGTTATGGCTAGCAGTAGCTGTCGTGCCCCTGGCTGTCTCAGTCACCTGCCTGAACTCTGCCTGTCACATGACCACAGCATTACCACTTGGGCCTGGAGCCTCCGTAAGACCCATCACGGGGGAGGGTGCAAAGGAAACAAGGTCCTGGGGTGCTCCCCTTCACCCCAGCCCCACCCTATGAGATCAGACAGAGGTTAACACTTGCTGGTGTAACGTTCAGGGTCTCCTCACTGGGATTGTCACCCTTGAGCTGCGAAGAGCACCCCGCCTCTGGAAGGTGAGAAAACACAGTCCTGTCCTCCCTCCCCCAACCCCCAAACACACACACACCCTCCACCCAGGAAGTACGTGGTCCTCTAAGAGATGACTAATCCTCTCAGCTGTCGGTGGCTGGTCCAAAACACTAAGGAGCGAGCACAAGAAAGGTGCCCGATGAGAACCCTAACTGGGGTCAGGGGCAAACCAGGATTTGCCTGCTTTTCGAGCTAGGCTGCAGGTGGTGTTTGATGCTGGAATGGGTTCCCCCAGGCGGAGCAGGGCTGAGCTGCGTGTCTGGCAGGTGCGCACTATGATGGTATTCAACCTGTTCAACCTCATCCTGGGCTTCATTGTGCTGGTGGTGGAGGTGATAAAGACAGCCTTGGAGCCGGCCACAACTGCCCCCTCCCAGGTACGCGTTGAATGAAGGAGAAGGTGGGAACAAAAAAGAGAGAGGGCCCAGCAGAGCAAACTGGTGCTTGGTCCCTGCAGCACCCTCAGTGCCCTCTACCCACAGCTGGCTGGGCTGCTGGTGCTGGAGGTCAGCGCTGAGGCCTTCACCCTCGGGGCTGTGCTGGTCTCAGCATACGCCCTGTTCCTGCTGAGCCAGAGGAAGCCAGGATGCTGCGGGAGCCCCAGTCTGCACTACGAAGAACTGCATGAGGTACTATGGGCGTGGAGGAGCAAGCACAGAGCAGTTAGCCTCATGCTGATAGATCATCCATGACATGTAAGGGAAAATGATGGGTCAAGAGGAAATGAGGGGATCTTGGATTTAACCTAACTGGTCAGTTGGTCTTGTCCTTGCTCTTGTTATGGTGGGTAAGAGGGACTTGGGTATCTAGATGATGGGGGGCTAGGAGGGTGGGGCACATCAGGAAATTGCCCAAATGACATATGGGAAGGGGGAGAGAAGCAGGTCACTTCTGTTTGGGATTTCTCCTTCCTGCAATCTGCTCATTTGGTTTTTAGGGCCTCTCAGAGTTGGAAGACGTTCCTAGTTCTGACAATGGTCCCATGGTCCACAGCACAGGACCCAGAACGAACAAGTAAGCTCGGGAGAGGAGGCTCTTCCACCATGAGGAGGAGATGCTCCAGGCGCTCCTGCATCCCACCCCAGCGAACCTAGAAGCTCGCTGGCCTCCCTAGACGTTTGCATAACGTCCCAAGGGTGCCTTCCATTTTCACTCAAGAGCAAGCCCCTCTTTTTCTCCTGCCTTGTTAGGGAAAACATACACCTGGCTCATCACAGCCCTCTGGGTTCCCTATCCTAAAAAAAAAAAAAAAAAAAAAAAAAACTGCTGCAGCCTTCGCCCTTCCCAACTGTCCCATCCCGTTGCACTCTTATGCCCGTCTCGCACACCCCTCTCCACTCCCAGCGCCAGTCCTAGCACGCACCAACTCCCTTCCATCCAGTCACCGGATACTCTCTGGAGACAACACATCCCAGCATGCTCCCTTCTGCCTCGCGGGCTGCTGGGAAATAAAGAGCTTTCCCTCCGCCGCGAGATCGCGGTGCATCTGCTGACTGACGCGAGGCGTTCAAGTCGTGGCCTAGTCGAGAGTTGCTTGGGACGCGACCACTGGCCCCGGATGAGGGGAGGATCCGGGCGGGCCGTCCTGCACCGGGGAGACGCCACCCAAACCTGGGCAACGGCAAGAGGACTCTGGATCCATGTCCCTCCCACACAAAGCTTCGGAACCGGCGAGGACTGGGGGCTGGCGCTTGGCAGAGCCGGGGGGTCCCCTGACGCTGTCGCCACGCTCCCCCTCCCCGAACGAGTGGCCAGGTCCAAAGTCCTGAGACTTGGAGCGCGCGCGAGAAAGAGGTTGGAGATTGATGAGTCAGAAGCGCGCGGCCTTTCTCTGGTCCCGCGTCCTCGGGGGCCTGGGCGCCTGAGGACAGAGTCGCCAAGGCAGGCTGGTGGGCTGGGCCAAGCAAAGAGGGACGCGACCATCCGACCCAGAGCTTTCCCGCCTCTGGCGAGCGCGCCGATGTAATGAGCTCGCGTGGCTGCCACCCTTTCTTTCCAAGGCGGGAAAGGGAATGCGCAGGCTCGGCCTCTGGCCGCCCCGCTGACCCTTGATCCTGGCCGCGGTCGGATTGCTGGATCTCTGGTTGCGCTCCGCCCCCACCGTTGAGGAGCTTTGCCAAGCTCGGTGGACCTGGAAAAAGCCCGGGGAAACTGGGCGTCCCGCTAGCACCAGCCGGGCAGTTTTACTAGCCGCTAGAAACTACAAAGTTAACCAGAGCTGGAGTACTGAGAGAACTCACCCCACATTCACACAGAGCCCAGGAGGAGAATTCGCCTCACACTCATTTTTTGTTCCCACTTGAGCCAAGCTTCTGTCCCTAGAGAGAAGGCTGCTGCTTCTCTGGGCTCAGGCCAGCCCGGGCACCCGTGAGGGGAGAGCGCAGCCTGGCTGCCTCGCCTGGATACTGCAGTGGCGCCAGCTGCGGCTTCTTTTTGTTTGTGACACCTTGGGAGGGGTAATAGTCACCCTATGACAAGGTTAGGTGTGAGGTCTGGTGGGTGGGGACAGTTTGGGGATCAGACTCTGGAATGGAGGAAACAAGATCTGGGCTTCCCCCTCCCCCCTTTTCTCAATCATCGTCAGCGTAAGGGAGAGCTGTGTAAAGGGCTCAGAGGAAAGTAATTTTCTTGGAAACCAAAAGCTGGTGGTAGATGAGCGGAAACTGGAGAGCATCCGTTCTCTTTATCTCCCAGCTTTTAATGATGTGATCCGATGGCTGAAGTTTTCTGTTCTAGTTTTTTCAGAAACTTCAGGGTCATGCTGAGGAATCTGTGTCAGATTAAGCTAGGTGATGTTCTGGTAAACTACAATGCTAAAACTTGAGTAGCTTAAAGACACAAAAGTGATATTTCTCTCTCTTTTTAAAGATTTATTTTATTTTTATTACAAAGTCAGATATACAGAGAGGAGGAGAGATAGAGAGGAAGATCTTCTGTCTGATGATTCACTCCCCAAGTGAGCGCAAAGGCCGCTGCTGTGCTGATCCGGAGCCAGTATCCAGGAACTTCTTCCAGGTCTCCCACATGGGTGCAGGGTCCCACGGCTTTGGGCTGTCCTCAACTGCTTTCCCAGGCCACAAGCAGAGAGCTAGATAGGAAGTGGAGCTGCTGGGGTTAGAACCGGTGTCCATATGGGATCCCAACGAGGACTTTAGCTGCTAGGCCAAGTGCTATTTCTCATATTGTATGTTCTAAGTAGGCTCCAAGCTAATGGAGGGTCACCACTTTGAGAACCTAACATATCTCCATGAAGTTTAGGGTTACACCACCTCCTCCCCTTGGAGTGGTGAAACAAGGATAAAGTCATCCTTTGGTTCTTAAATGCTTCAACCCAAAGGGACACAAGTGACTTTTGGCTCACAGTTCATTGGCCCAAGTCCTACAGCCACACTGAACCTCGAAGAAGCAACGTGCGTGGAAAGAGGAGAAGCAGAAATATGTGAAAGCAAAAAGGGTTAATTGCGAGTGGGTACTTAAGCAGCCCAGCAGTTGGAACGCATCTGTTTGTAGGCCTCTATCTCATTCTCCAGTTTGATTCCATGGACTCCCAAGCAAAGTTCGCAATAGAAATGTCTCCTCAATAAAATAAAGACCGGAAGGTAAGGAAATCTAAATGTTGATTCTGTTGTTTGAGCAGGTCAGGTGTTTTAACTAAATTTTGTTCAAATTGTGAGTTGTAACCACAAATCTTTTCCTTTGCCTTCCTGGATTGTCAAGCCTGAAGTAAAAATCACACATGGAAAAGTGCTTTCAAACCATAAGGCATTTCAGGGTTTGAAAAATGAATTGCCTTTAGAGGCAGGGGATGGTTGAATGAGTGAGGCCGACTGGGTATGCAGTAGTAAAGAGTGGCAGCAACTGTGGCCAACTATAGGGCACACATACGGGGAAAGGGGTCTTCAAAAGGTTCCTGGAAAAGTTAATGTACATTTTCCATGAATGTTTTGAGGATCCCTTGTATTTAAAGACTTCATACCCACTAAATTTCACCCAGTTACTGAAACTGAATCTGGAAATGCCAGAGTCCCTGTTTTTCTACAGAAGCCTACAATTCTGACTTAAAATGTAAATATTGAGGCATGATGGCTCTCACAGGCTAATCTGCCTGCAGGTGCCAACATTCCACATGGGCACTGGTTCATGTCCCAGCTATTCCACTTCCATTCTAGCACCCTGCTTGTACTCTGGAAAAGCAGTGGAGAATGGCCCAGGGTCTTGGCATCCTGCACCCACGTGGGAAACCCAGAGGTTTCTGTCTTCAGATCAGCTTAGATCCAGCTGTTGTGGCCACTTGGGGAGTGAACCAGCGAATGGATGATCCTTTTTTGTCTATCCTTTGGCCTATACATTGGCCTTCCCAATAAAAATAAATAAGTTTAAAAAAAAGAGATATAAAGAGTCTTGGAGAGATTAGATATTAAGTTCTTAAAACTTTTTAATGGTATTTGTCTAAGACATTGTAAGTCCAGGAGGATTCCTTTTGTCCCCTCACCACCACCACCACTACCCCAGCCCAGGATATTTTGCAATACCTAGAGTTATTTTTAGCAGCCACAACTGGGGGAGAGGATGATTAAATATGTTAACAGAATGAACATTAAACAAGAAGTCAGGAGAATCAGGATTGAGTCCTAAGGCTACCAGTATCTCTCTCCTGCATGTTGTCCCGGGCCAGCTGCAAGCCAAGATGCACACTTGCTCCTCTTGCACTCTGCCTCCTTGCACTCTTGCACTCCTCATTGCTCCTCTTGCACTCTGCCTGTTCCCACAGCCCCGGCTGCTCCCTCCCTGACAGCTTTCTGCTTCCCAGCAAGCGCTACATCCGTCTGGCAGCTGCTGTGGAGGTCGTTCATTTTACTTCAAGTACGACTTCACAAAAAGAAGGGTCTGTGACAAGGTCCCTGCTGATGTCACTTGTTGAAGGCCCTGACCCCTGTCTCTTCCTTCAAGCCTTGCAGAAACATCCATTTCATTAGCATGTGGCTGAATTCTGTGGTGGTTGGAAAATTCTCCTTTGCTGATGAATTTTAACCTCGGTTCTTTGAAATGCAGCCCTTTGTCCTCCCTCTGATTTGAATACATGATTATGCCCAACCCACGATATGTCCCAAATGAATTCTTTTCCGCTTCAGGATCTGCTCCCTTTTTTTCTAAAATGGCTCGGGTTTTATGGCCAAGGCTGTGTCCTCTGCTGCCATCTCGTGGCTTCTTGGCTGCCCCGCTTTCAAACGCACAAAATAATGGCGCCTGGCGGTAGCTTAGTAGTGGGAAGAATCTCCTCTCCACCCCTGGGAGTGCTCCCCGAGTCCCTCCCCTGCAGAGAGTCTGCCCAAGGCCCCAGCGCTGCAGCCTGGCAAGCAAGCTGGGGCCTACGAGGTGAGAGTTGCAGGGCCTCTTCTGGTCATCCTTATCCCCTTAGGCCTCGGCCTGTTATGTAATCCTGGCCGGAAGCCACAGAAATCAGTGAGCTCAGCTGCCCAGGAGTAATTGGAGCCGACCTCGCCTGCTTGGCCCAATGAAGCCTCGGCAGCCTCTCACCCGACACCTGGGCCGGGATGCTCTCATCTCGATGAGCTGTGCAAACTGCCGCCCTGGGTTTCTGGCTTCCCAGTCTTGCCTAGGCTCGTTTTTTGCAGTGCTGTGTGTTCGTGCTCCCACATCTTGGCAGGCTGGTTTGGTGCAGCCGCAAATGCTGCACACTGAGCAAAGCAGTGGCAGAGGTGTGCCGCCCACGAACATTGTTTTCTCTAACAATGGCCGGGTCCACGGACCGTGAGGGCTGGGTCTACCTCCAAGGGCAGGCTGCTGGGAGTTCCTAGTGATTCAACACAGGAGGGAGAATAGGAAAATAGTTCACTTGGTACATTCCCCTCACCCCCCATCATAATAAAGCTCAAATATAACATGTAAATAGTTAATAACTTTCCTGTTGCTAACAAAAATGGCTAGAACTGTCCCTAGGTTGTTAGCCCCACCACTGACTCGACCCAACTGCCACTTCGTTGAGCCTCAGCTTTCTCAATGAAGAAGAGTGTTATTTATTCTTCACCATCACATGCGTTCAGAGGGAAGGGGTGTGAGGTTTCCTAGGGCCTCAGGGATAGTCACACTCAGTACCACTGTGGTGTATAGTACTACTTCTCTTTAAAATCCACATGCCATTTACTTAATAAGCATCATCTGTGGTTCCTATTGTGCATTTCCTTCTATTTTTTTTCCCCTGCTTTGCTTATATCTTATGTTGTTTTTCTTAATCCCACTTAGCATCTGGATCTTTTGGTCTTTTTTTTTTTTTTTCTTTTTGTCAGAAACTCTTGGTAAATTCTGTCTACTTAAAGAATATTCCTTGTCGGGCCCTGCGCGGTGGCGCAAGTGGTTAAAGGTCCTCACCTTGCACGCCCGGGATCCCATATGGGCACCGGTTCTAATCCCGGCAGCCCCGCTTCCCTTCCAGCTCCCTGCCTGTGGCCTGGGAAAGCAGTCGAGGACAGCCCAAAGCTTTGGGAACCTGCACCCGCGTGGGAGACCCGGAAGAGGCTCCTGGCTTCGGATCGGCATAGTATCGGCCCGTTGCGGCTCACTTGGGGAGTGAATCAT